AGCATATCATATTTGTTGCCTAAATGCACAATTATTTTGGCACATTATTCTTCTATAAACACCATATAAACATCTAAAAAATATGTCATATGCTTTTTTGCTCAACAATATGACTAATTCCTTGGTCATCACAAAATTATGAATCCTTTGGAATTTCAAATTTTCCATCATGATCACTTTTGATTGTCTTAATCCATTTTATTTTCTATTCACCTTATGATCTTTTCTACATTCTTCAAGAATTTCAACTTTTGTTCTCTTAGGATAATACTCATATATCTTGAGTGGTCATAAACTCATCATATCATTATCTTAAAATGTTCATGTAAAATAATTCTAGAAGTTGACTAGCTTTGATCATGTCCTTTGATTTATGTGATTTTCTCACTAAATTTCCTTTAAAGCATGTACCACAATTAACGTATTTATCTAAGCACAACTTATCAATCTTCATACATGTTTTAATTTCTATAGTTTTCATATTGTTCTAATACTTATAGGTCTTAATCATTCATGTCATAACTCCATAAAATTACTAGAATTATATGAAACTAAACATACATTAAGTCTCAATAAATCATGAAGATAATGATTGATAAGTCTTTATTATCATGAGTTAATAATTAATTAATAATAAAGTTTTAGTCTTAACTCATAATAAATATTTTATATTTGTGTTAAGTTGTCAAAATTGATTTTTAATTAGTTATTGTAAATTTTTGACTCATTACGTAATTTTATGTGAATTTATATATTTTTATAATCTTATTTTTGAGATAAATAAAGAAAAATAAAATAACATATCCTCTTACACATGTGCATCACTCTCCTTCCACGTCATTAGTGGCCAGCGGGCATGGGGCCAAGAATGCTCTTACACATTCGAGAAAGAGACGCGTTGATTAGCAAAGCTCATATTATTATATATCTACGTCAAAACTCAGCATATAATTGATGTGGGACTAAATTGGAGGTCATAACCTATCATAAGGTTTTAATGATTTTAATACTTAAAACATTATTTATTTATCATAAAAAGATATCATTACGACATCACTTTATAAAGGTATTTACGTACTTATTTTATTCTCTCTCATGCATGCGGATGACTAGTGATGGTTCAAATCTTACTAGAATCAAAACTTAAATTTTTATCTAATTAAATTTTGATTTTTCTACAAATTTTGATGAACGATTAAGTTGTCAAAATTGTTCAATCATCAACATAATTTGCGAAGCATCATTATTAAATTTACTGAATAATTTTTCGATAAAAGGATCGTGAATCTATTGAGTTAATCATCTCCGATTGATTCTCCATTTTAAAATTATTTGAATTATTTTCAAGTAGTTCCTCAACCTCAATTTGGTTAACTTCAATATTATCTTATAGCCATGTTTGTGTCTTCTATTAATTGTTTATCAGTGATCAAAGAGGAAATAGATAAATAATCTCTAATTCAAAGTGTAGGTAAAATAAGTATTGAACTCATTATTTAAAGGTATCTCCATCTTTGTTGCTCTTATGGCTTCCATTTCAACTTGAACAACTTGTTCCACATGTAAATAGTTTCCTGTTTGATTGATTGATTCTCAATTCTTGTGTTTCTTCTTGAACTTCTTCTTATCCTTCTTCATTGGTTTGTCTTCTAGATTATCAATCGTTGGTCAAGCTTGAGATCACACAGCCTCATTAAATGTGATTTTTCTTATTGTACTTTTTGGGCATTTTGATATATGATCTAGTCTAATTGTGGCCGCTAATCACCCTCTTCATCCAAATTATCTTGCTCTTCTAATTCTTCTTCATGATCACTCTTCCTTCTGCCCCATTATTTTAGTCCTTGTACCTCAGATTCATCATAGGTGTTTTCCACCATCTTTTCACTTATTTTTGCCACAAAGGACTCATCAATTAGTAGGAAAATTTTTGATTTATCTGATTTAGTTTCATATGCCTCATTGCGGACATCATCGTCAATTGCTCACTTAGGAATTATTTCCTTGCTTCATTTTTTTATTTTTCTAGTTGTCATCCACATTTGATCTAGACATCCCTTCATGTTCCTTCCTTTTTTCCTTTGTAATTCTAACTTGATAGTAAGTTCCTTTTCGTGATTAGGAAGATCTTATTCTACCACTCCTACAAACAGCTTTAGTAGGAGCTGATGAGGCTTTCTTTATGTCCCTCATGTGACTTGTTTTGATTCTCTATTCTTTTACTCCACTTGGGTAAATAAAAACTTGATCTTATGTTACTCATATGCACCCTTTTCTACCCCACCAATGATGACTTATTTTTCTCTCTCTCTTGTGCCTCCTATGTCATTGTTTTCTTATGCTCCTTTTATCTCTTGGATCTACACAATCTCTTTTCAGTTCATGTTAAACTCTTGTCCATTCATGTTGTAGCTTGAGGGATCTTCATGGGGGTTTGTGTTGTAGTAAGTTTATCTAACTTGTTTTGGATATTATGGTGTCACAATCATATTGTTGAAAGCAAGGCTTGTGAATTTCTTCACCTTTGTTATGCCTCACCCCCCAAGGCCACACTCTTCTTCTCTTGCAAAAGTAAACAAAATAACAAGAAATTTGCCAAAAGCTAGCCAAGAATAACTTGTGCCTTCCCCTCTGTATTCTTTGGGTTAAAAAAGTTGTAACTCTCTTTTAATACTCTAGGAGCATTGAATACTCTATCCTCAACTTGTCAATAGAGTATCCAAACTCTCATTAGTGTTAGGAATCACATTCGACTATTGTAGAATAGTGTGAGAGCTGTTTAGACACAAAAATTTAAAATTGTATAGTAAATCACGCAAATTTAAAATTTATAAAACTAGAAAATATAAATTTTCAGATATTTAGAAGTATTTTTAAACAAATATATCAATTATACTTCAATAAAACTTCCAAAAATAGTAGTAATTTTTCAAGTCAATCATAAGAATGTAATATAATATCTGGTAATTATTCAAAAAAAATCTCAAATAATACTATTTTTTATAAATTTTATACTAGGAAATGAAAAGGAAATATATTTAAAATTCACGAAAAAGGAAAATAAGGGTGCGGACGTCAAGATGACGTCAACACCTGGCGAACGCGAATTAGGCGAAAACAAAGTTCCGCCTAACGATTCTTACGTAAGTGATTACAGACGATTTAATTAATCACATTAAGATCTGTAAAAGTCGGAAGAATCATAATTAAATGAAGTATATCTTGGTAAATTTAATTCACACAAATTATCACTAAATGAAGTGGAAAGTAAGTTGAAAGCAGAAAAATAGAGTTTTGGTGTCGCGGCGACGATGACTAATAACATTTTCCCTTGCTATGTTACTAAGTCATTTGATGGTTAACTCTTGTCCTAATAGTTTTGATTGTCATAAAATCTTAATTTCATAAAAACTAGCGTGAAAGTTGCAATCGCCTTCTAAGACTATGAGATATCATCGATTGATTTATCATCATAACACCTTTGAGTCAACCCTAGTTTATTATGAAAGTATGTGTTCTTCAAATGTGTTATAGATGAAGCCAAACATGAGCACACAGTAAACTGAGTTTTACATACTTTTGTATAATTTATTATCATTGTCTTAATTATTTCCCTTCTGTATATTAAAGTTTTCTCACTTTAGTTAGTTAATGTATAAATTTTCTTCACCTTTATCCTACATTATTATTTCATGTGTGACATTAGTTAGTCTAAGAAACTATCTTGTCATTAATGAAATTTTCAGTAAAGCAACAATTTATAACATAAGAATTATTATCATCCATTTTACATGATGAAGTAGCAAATCAAATAATTGAATATTATAGTTCTTTCTTCCTATCATTGTTCTTCAATGAGGTCAAATTATCAACACAACTGTCATTCTAAGTACAAATATGTCTCTACCCTTTTATGGTATATGGATAGCAACTGCAACATATCATATTCCTAACCTAGGATTTTGGAGATGACATGGTACATAATAGACACAATCACTCACGAATACATATTTGAGATACATGATGCGAATCCAAGCCATTCTATTTTCTCGTATGTATGTTTGTATATTATATTAATGGCAAAAACAATTTTCAATTTTCTCACAGTCGTTGTTGACATACAAAAAGTTTAATCTCTGCGCTCACAAGGAAGCGGGTTGACTTTTCTGCCAATCATTTGAGCACTCTCAATAGCAACTACTTACTATGTGTAACTTTGCTCTATAAACCTCCACATTACAAGAGAAAAAACTTGGCATCAAGAGTCAGCGAAATGTGGTTATGTTGAGAAGATGAACATAATTAGAGTGAAGGAAGATCAAAGGCAAACCCAACATGATTCAAAGCTTCCCAGCTATGATACTCTTCGAAAAGACAGTCAAACACTCCAACCTCAGGAATATTCTACACAGCCCATTTTCTATGATATTTATGAAACGCAAAGATAACATTCTTGAGAACTGCCCAGAATTAAAAATAGCCTATTTTTCTCGATAAAAACAATAAATATCCCATCACAATGTTTATAGCCAGTGACTATTCGTCTCGACGGTCAGCGCGGGAAAATTCTCTCCTTCTGTGAGATCACAGTAATCTAGATAGGGTTCACACAGCTATCCCAAACGTGCCAAAACCAGGAATCCTAAAAATTGCACCTTCCTTGCACTGCCCGCCGTAGGGCCTCGGTTTCGACGTGGGTGGTGTCGAGAGCTGATTGGCCAGATCCCGGTACGGACAAGCCGCCCCCACCGACCCTCCTCACTCTGCCCTGCAACAAACCCGGGAGGGGCGGCGGCGGGTTGATGACCTGGTTTCCACGAAGCCCTGTACCGCTCCCGCCACCAGATCCCATCCCATCCGCTCCTCGGAGCCCAGATTGAAGCTTCCCCGTCTTCACCCCCTCCCGATCCGCCAGGAGCTCGCTCCCCAGCTCATTCTGTCCTCTTGGGTCTCTGTCTCAGATCAGAGCTTCAGAGTTCTTCCTCTCTCCCATGGGGGAGATGTCTGCGAGCAGGATCGTCGCCTACACCAGCCCCAAGCCCTGCTCTCACCTGGCCACGTACAGGAAGAAGCACGGCCTCAGGGGCTACGCTTCTCTGCGGGACCTTCTCCGTACAAGCCCTAATGGACGCACCGCGTTGGGGTGTCTGAAATCACCGGTGCCCGCGTGTGATCTCTGCTCCGCCCATCTCGGCAGGCTGTATCTCTGCCTGGTCTGCTCCTCGGTCTCCTGCTTGGATCATTCCATCGCCCACGCAGCGGCAGAGATGGGGCACGAGATCGCGGTGGACGTAGACAGGGCGGAGCTGTTCTGCTGCACCTGCGCCGACCAGGTATACGATCCAGACTTCGACACCGCCGTCATGGCGAAGCAGATCGAGGAGCTCCCGAAGCGGCGGGAAGCGGCCTGCGGGGGACGGAAGCGGCGGCGGCCGGAGCGGATCACGAGGGAGCTGGTGCCGGCGGTGTGCCGGCGCGCCGTGTTGGACCCGTCTGGGTTGCCATGGGGATTGCGAGGGATGAACAATCTGGGGAACACTTGTTTCATGAACTCTGTCCTCCAGGTGCTCCTGCACACGCCGCCTCTGAGGTGGTACTTCTTGGGTGATCACCACCGGCGGGAGCTTTGCAGTCGGCGGCGGCGGCGGAAGGGATCCGTCACGGAAGGGCCCTGCCTGGCCTGCGACCTCGATAGCGTCTTCTCCGCCGCATTCTCTGGAGATCGGACCCCGTACAGCCCTGCCCAGTTCTTGCACAGGTCAGGCATCGGTGGGTCTGTCGAAAAGTCGTTAAATTAATGCGAGAAACTTGGGATTGCCGAAGAATTTTCAGGGTTATTTCCATCGGGCTCTGTCTGGATCGGAGTTCTTGTGTTTGGAGGCGGATCGGGACTGGGAAAAGGATTAGGGCAGTGATCACCGATGATCTGTACAAAAACTAAAAAAAGAAAAAATCTGTCTTGGTATTCAAATTGAGCAGATTCCAAGACAGATTCGGATGCCTGATCGTCGGTGAAGAATAGTTCATGTTTTTTTCTCATCTGAAACCCAATATCAACGGGTTTCATGATAAAAATCTCTTTTTATTGTTATTTCCCTCCTCCCTTTTTTGTGGAATTTGTTGATGGAGGAAAAGAAACCGCCAGATTCCATCGAATCAGTCAGTCTCTTGATGTTTTATTTCCTTGTCGATGATCGGATTATCCTCTGGGACTCCAAATCTTTCTGTAATCGTCTGCCTCATCCTACCCTGAACTGATCAACACAAAACTTTTTGATTATTCTCCGTCGTGTAATTTAAACTTAGCTTGCGTTCCTGATCATTTCATCAGAAATTTGATCTTTATGAACCTGAGATGTCTCCATTTCCTGTCTCTTCGATCTGTGCTGCATAGATACAAACACTTATTTGATCTTATCAGTTTTCGGAAGATCATTGTTCATGAGTCCCCATGTGTCACACACTACACTGTGCTGGATCACTCGCACTGTTCATTAGGCTCTGCCCATTCTGCAGTAGTCAGCGGCAAGAACGTGAATGAGATGGTGTTTGGGGTTTCCCTTGTGGCTTTTGTTGCAGCTGGTGGCAGCACGCCGCAAACCTGGCCACCTACGAGCAGCAGGACGCCCACGAGTTCTTCATCTCCGTCCTCGACTGGATCCACTGCAAGGAGCAGCCCAGCCCTCAGACTAAAGGCAAGCAAGAACAACCCTTTCAACCTCCCTCCGCCACCTCGCCGTCGTTTCTCGGAGACGATCGACCTTGACCTTGTCTTCTCCGCAGGTGGCGGAGACTGCCGCTGCATAGCCCACCGGGTCTTCTCCGGCTTGCTCAGATCGGACGTCACCTGCACCGTCTGCGGCTTCACCTCCACCACCGACGAGCCCTGCGTGGACATCCCCCTGGACCTGGAGCCCCAGAGCACCGCCGTGAGGCTGCCGGAAGCCGGCGGCGACGGCGGTGGGAGAGGGTCGACCCTGACAGGTTGCCTGGACCTCTTCACGCGCCCTGAGAAGCTCGGCTCCGACCAGAAGCTCTACTGCCGGCACTGCGAGCTCCGGCAAGACTCGCTCAAGCAGATGTCCATCCGGCGGCTGCCACCGGTGCTGTGCTTCCACGTCAAGCGCTTCGAGCACTCGCCGTCGCGGAGAACTTCCCGGAAGGTCGACCAGCACCTCCAGTTCCCTTTCTTGCTGGACATGGCGCCGTACCTGTCCTCCTCCATCACTAGGAACAGGTTCGGAAACCGGATCTTCGCCTTCGAAGGGGACGACTCTGAAGTTGTTTCGGGGGAGTTGTCGTCGGAGTTTGAGGTGTTCGCCATCGTCTCCCATGCGGGGAAGCTCGAGTCGGGGCACTACATCACGTACCTGAGGCTGAGGAAGATCTGGTACAAGTGCGACGACGCATGGATTACACAGGTGAGCGATGAGGCTGTGAGGGCCTCGCAGGCCTACATGATGTTCTACGTGCAGAAGAACCTCTGCTACAGCGCCGGCGAGGAGCTCCCCTGCCTCCCGCCGTCGCCGCCGCGGCAGCTCACCAGCCCCACCGTCGGAGAGCTCTTCCTCTCCGCTTCCGCTTGTGGGTGATCTCTCTCTCTCTCTCTCTCTCTCTCTCTCTCTCTCTCTCTCTCTCTCTCTCTCTCTCTCTCTCTTGATTAACGGCATTCATTTGAGCGTAGTAATAATGTAATAGCAGAGAAATGAGCGTTCCCCTTGGCTACCCTCTTCCTTATTTTTTCATTGGATTTGTGGGGGGACTCTCAGGAGCCTCGCTCGGATTGATTCATGTACATAAACACTTGGAGGAAGACGCTTGGAATCCCATTTCATCTCCGCCAATTCCTCTGCAGATATCCACTGAACACTCCACTCCTCTCTCTCTCTCTCTCTCTCTCTCTCTCTCTCTCTCTCTCTCTGCTTGTGCAGTCCTCAGATCGGGCAAATCCCCCCTCCGTCCTGCACACAGCGACTGACCCCCGGCACATTCGACGATTGCACACAAGATGACTGTTAGAACAGCTACACATTGAGCCGTTTGGTTGACTTATAAACCTGACAAAGAAAGTCAACTCAAAAAAAAATCTGGGAAAGCCCAACAAAAACCCATTACCAATAGGGAGAACCCTATTATCTTAAACTCTCCTAACAAAACCCATCACCAGAAAAGGGGAAACGAGGGAGGGTAGGAGACAAAAACCTGTTCTTCGTACCCACTTCCTCAGTTTGACCCACCCACGGGAAACCACAGAAGAGAGATCAAGGAGCTCCGGGTCAAACAGAAGAGAAACACAAGTAGCTGTTAGTCAGGTCTCCACTATACAGAGAAAGAGGTCAAACCAAGGAAGGAAGGGGCTGACCCTGCAAAACCTCCATTTTCTATCCAGCAAGCAAAAAAAGAAAAAAAGAGAAGGAAAACCCAGAAGGGCAGCTCCTCTCCCTCTCAAAGGAGACAGCTTTGTGGGTAGGTCCTCCAGTAAAAGCGATACAATATATATATATATATATGAGAGTCGTCATCGAGTTCCTGCCACAGTCATGGCGGGCACCTCAGAAACTACAGCCAGATCAGGTCGTCTCAGAAACCCTAGCTTCAGGGTGGACCCTGCGACCGTGCCGAAGAGCCCACCGGCATCTGCGGCGCCATTCAGGATCGACCGGCTGGCAAAGAGATCAAACACCTAGGGCAATGGTGCACCAGCTCATTTCCCTCTTCTTCTCCAGTCTCCATCTCTTTCTCTCGCTCTCTCATGGTCATCACGCTCCCTGCTCCCGCTCTTCTCTCGCTCCTTCCTCTTCTCACCTTCAGGCTCCTGGGCCCTCTCCCTCTCCCTCTCCCGCTGCCTGTCCCGGTCTCTCGCCGCCTTCTTAGCCGGGCTCTGGCTTCGGCTCTCGCCGCGGTGGCGCTTCCTCGAGGAATCAGGGGCGGCGTCGTATCTCTGCTTCCTGTCGAGTGAGGACCGCTCTGCAATAGTGGCGGGGAAGAAGATAACCCATATGTGGTTAAGACAAGGTGAAAAGATTACCGTTTCTGGAAAGGATCTATTGGAAGATTTCACGCAGAAAGCTAGAAACGTTTGCTAAAACATTGTGAGATCTTATGATTATTTGTGAGATGGTGCACTGGTTCTAGCAAAATCACTATTGAAACGAGATCAAGAGGCAAGCTTTTATAAAATAATGCTGTAATTGCCCAGAAAACGAAGACCCAGCAAGCTCGGAAAGAAATTTTCAGAGAATGATTCGGTGTCAGTTTGACTTACGAGATGGAATCCCGCTCGCTGCCCGGGCATCTTCACCAGAATCAGCTAAACCAAACTCTGATTTCAGTCGCCTTCGATGCGATGCCACCCTCCTCTCGATTTCATCCGTGTTTCTGACCCCTTGCTCTTCAAGGGACTCGCGATACTCCATGACAGCAACCTCTAAACGTCTCAATTTCTGCCTGAGCGAAGAAATAATCAAGAAATCAGTAGAGAAAGAATTGACACAACTTATGATGCACGACCCCAAGAACCACAACCCACCTCTGTTCCTCAGTCATGATGCTGTCCGCGTGGGGGACAACGCCCTCTGATGCCACCTCTGCCTCGTCGTTCTTGCCGCGTATTCCGTCGGCATTTTCACTCCCAGATGAGGAATACCCAAGACCCAGATCCTTGGAGTCCTTTCTGTCATCATCGTCGCTGGCATCGTCTTCAGCCCATTTTGAAACCAGAATGGGATCAGATTTTTCTTTCTTGCTTGCGAAAGCCCTAGATTCAGGCTGAGGAATTCCAAGAGCACTGGCTAATTGTGTTGATGAGCCTTGACCATCTGCCTGGATCCCTTCTTCACCGCGCCTGTTCCTCGAAGATTTGGCCATGGGCTCTCCCAAGCTCTCCCCTCTGCGGCCAGAAACATTAGGACTCCACCCGCTGTCCTCCCTAGAGTACTTGTTTGAATGGTTTTGTCCATACTTCAAGCCCTCATCCCGGTCAAAGACTCTCTGCTTTTCTGCATCCTCGAGATAAAGCAATCTTGCAACCATCATTTCTCTACCGCCACACAGAGAGAGCCCATTATGTCTGCATCTCTTTTCCAGCTCGGCAAGCGGGAGACCCAACAGCTCCTTCATCGCAGCCCCCTTCCCCACAGCCAACGCAGCATCTTGGTCAAACTTACCTCCTTCGGCTTTTTCTTCAGTGTTAACCTTGCTAATAATTTCGGGAGCATCGCCACATATAGAGTGGAAGGAAGTCACACCTGAGTTGCCCGGCCTGAGGAAAGTCGATCTTAACCCACTTACATAGGCATCTGAGAAGAGAAACCAGTCTGACCAAACTTGAAGAACTTTTAGAACTCGTTCCTGCAGCAAATCCAAACAAAGTGCAAAGTCTCGTGAGTCGAACAGAATCAGGGCAAACAAAAACTCATTAAAACATGATAATCATGGGTTACCTTCAGGGCTTCAGCAGTGATTCTTCCTGTGATGCTGCAGTACAGATCATTAAAGCTCTCCATGATGTCGGGAAGAGTTCCTTCAAACTTTGTTCGATACGCTGAAGCATTTTTTACTGGAGCACTACTATTGTGCAGTATATCAGAGACCAGCATAAGCCTCGAAACCTTGGTTGGTATGGGTGTCTCTTTGAGGGTCAAAGATTCAGTAAGAACTTCCACAATCTGGGAACACAAAATGGTATTTTAATATAATTGCAAAAGAGCCAAATAACAGCTTTAGGCAATGTATTTCCGCGTATGTAAGGAGAATAAGGGTCTTAGATTAGAAGGCGAATATATGTAGATATATGGCTGAAGATTTAGACTTATCTTCGTCACAAAAACATAATTCCTGGCGACATAATCAACATAAATGGGATACATCTTTCTTCCAGATGCACTTATGTTACTCCAAATCAGATAGTTTATGAAGGAACTAAAAAGGATGGAAAGCCCAAAATCTCCGAACAGAAAAATATATAGGTGAAAACCCTGTAATAAATTGTGCCTTAACTTGGTTGAGCAAAACCATTTAACTAGCAAATCAGATTACACAAGGATCATGTTCCCCTTTGCTATAAACACACGACGGAAAAATTCACATTACCTCACCAGCAGCATCAGCATTATCTAAGGCAAAGCCCATGGCCTCCTTTATTAGGCTCCTCTCCAAAGTCAAAGCACGTAGCATATCCTCAAATTCATCTCTTTGCGGGTCTGTCAATGTGCGCTCCAGCTCCACACGCTGTGACAGTTAATCCAAAAACAGCATAAATACTTTACAGGGGATGTTGACACTCCAAAATATAGAATCACTTCAATGGAATTGAAGGATACAGGCCCAGAAAGCACATTGCTAAAATTACAAGGACTATTATCATGAGTGAAAAAAAAAACAAATATCCAACTCGATAAAGTGAGGAAACAATGGTCTACCCTGCTTCTTCCAGCGGCATATGTGGTGCCAGCCTCTTTCTCGTGCTCAGGGCTGTGGGCGGCCGGTAGAGGAGGAGGCATCCATCTAAATAAAAATGAAGGCCATACATCAAAAAGTGGAAATATTGTAGCAACACAAACAGATGCTTCGAATGAACTTTATAAGCACAACCAGGAGGGACATTTTTCAACAAAACTGAGTGAATGTTTTGTTAAGAATATTCCATCTTCTTTCTAATAAAGATGACCCAAATCCATTAATTTTGATTTGGCTCAGAGTAGGATGGTTGAAAAAGCTTAGCATGGTATCAAAGCTGATAGTTTTCTGGGCCTGCGCACACCGTATTTATTTTTCCACGTGATAAAGCCCAAAAGTTGGCTTACACGTGAGAGAGTATGTAAAGAAAGGTCTTTTATCTGTTGAAACAAAAAGAAACATGTGACCATAAAGATGAACCTACTCTATTCACAGTCAATGGATTCTAAGTTAGAAGGCATAATAACTTTCACACAAATGAGAGGCCCAATCAACGGAATAATAGCTTAGTTGTAGAGTACATCGCTCACTATCAAGTTATTGTGCCTGAACTGTGAGGGCTAGGCCACCTTTATAGTTCAATTTTCAGTATACTTAATAATAGTTTTGTTTTGCATGTTGAACTAACTAGTTTTCCACATAAATCATGCATTACTGAATCTTCTTTTAAGCGTGTAGTATTGATCGACTCTATTTCTTTTGCGAAAAGATGTAGTGAAACCAGAAGGTATTACCTTCCGCTACCAGTAATCATTATAAAGGGCTCTGTTCGCCATCGTTGAAGGGTGTCACCCTGCATTTCCAGACGTAATGTTAAGTGATAGACTTTTCAAACAAAAAAAATGATCACATTACAGCATCTGATCACCAAGAAACAAAATATTTCAGTATCACTCAGTAATAAAGATTACCTGAGCAAATGAGTATAGCCTCCATACGTAGTAAGTATGCTCTTTGGAAGCAAGTTCAAATAAGAAATTAAAAAGGGAATTCCCACGACCTCTCTCCATTATAGCTTGTTCAAATGTGCATCCACCATCAAGAACATACAGTGCCATTGTGTCAATTATATGTCGTAGGTGGTCATCCTCAGGCGGAACAACAATTATATCCGGAACATTTGGTGTAAGCACCTACATAGACAGCATGAAAGCATTACAGCAGACATGGAGAAGAATTTCTCAACTCTTATGAAGGTTTATAGACAAATACTTCGCAAAAAAAAAAAAGCATAGAAAGATTCCCTCAGACTAGCAATCATTTACGTTGTCAGACTGAATAAGAAATCTCATATATTTCTCCCCGATAATTACTTTAAGATAAATTTTATGATCCTCACTTTTATTACATATAAAGTATCTCTCTTATCTCGTAAAAATCCTTAAACTTTTGAAAGTTATGTAAATCTTCAATTCTGTAACAATATTGATGTCTTCTTACAGCCCCATTAACATCTTCATTCCACCACCATGTATCTTCGGAATATACAGAACTACGTTAAATGTTACCACTGATAGCCGGGTCTGCTTTAGTATGTTACTTACAAGCAAAATCTTAGTCGACTCTTCTTTACTAACTGATCTCCATCATAATGAGTCACTTGCAAGGAATTACAAACTACAATGAAAATGAGACGAAAAATCCACATGAATAGAGCATGACAAAAAAAAATCCAGCCAGATCCTATCATGTCAAATCTTCGCTACTATGATTCGGACTGAAAGCACAAGTCACCAGACAGAGATGATAGGACAAGGAAGTGGTTCGTTGAACAACGAAAAGTCTACTAAGAGAGCAATACTCAAATATCAAAACTGCACAGACGCTACAGAGGAAAATACTCATTTGCAACAACTCAGTTCATTACCGAATGTTACAATATGTTTGAGTTTTCATTTGCCGTATATCCAAAAATTCCAATAACTCGACAGACATACCAGCTCAGAATTTTGAGTAGCCACTGTAGTAACAGGCGGGGCGTCAGGACCAGACAAAACAACAGTATTACCCTGCCATCCAGCAAATAATCAAACTGTCAATGACACGGAAAAGGATAAACGGTGATTTTAAGTATCAGGTTTCATCCAACTCATATGGAGGTCCAAATAATCAGAAAGAACAACTAATAGCTAGAAAGACCACAAACCTCCTTATTTCTGATGGCCATGTGTCCTGGAGGAGGAGCAGGTAGGGCCTGAGAAGGAAGAGATACGGACTTGCCCCAGCCAATCTTCAATTCATAACCATAGACAACAACACCTAAACAAATGCAAGGTCTTTTATGATGGGGCAGAAGGCCACAAACAGGAGGGAAAATGTGCATTTAAGAATTGAAAGTCTTAAATATATATATCAGAAATTTTTGCCAGTTCCGTAGAAGGAATAAATATCAGGAATATCAGTTCGTAAAGAGAATGTTTATAAGAAAGAAACTAGAACTTCATATCATCAGTTGATGTCCAAACACTAAACCGTCACCGACTGGTCGAATGGAAATAGTAAATCAAAACGAGCAATATGACGAGGATGACAGTCTGCAAGGTATTGTTCGCGACTAGACAACCTAATCACATTCATCCCCTAAAGGTACATAAGAAGTCTAGGATCCTGTCTCACCAAAGCAAGCATACCTACCACAAGAACACCGCAAAACATTATGTTTAATAAGTCGTAGTGTTTAGTCGACATAAGATAAATGAGTAAGAAAAACTCGACCATTGATGTCATTCATAAGTTAGGTAATATAGTGCAATAAAACAATGTGCATTTCTGTATCCGGGTAAAGAATAGTTTAAAACCAAACGTAAACAGCCCGGGCAATAAAAACAAGCAAGTAACAACAGTTAAAAAAGTTAGACCTTGCATTTCATCTTTTGCAGCCTGTCCATCCACCCTATTCATGAAGGCAACAAAACCACAATTTCTTTGTCTTCTTCGCTCTTCTTCAGTTCGAGGCCACATTATCTTCACACTAGCAATGGGCCCAAATCTACCAAAAGTCCTGAGAAGAAAGTTTTCATCCACCTGATGATAAAAACACATTTTTTTTATCATGAACTACGAAGAAACCAAAGAGTATGGAGAAAACGAGTGTCAACACTACCTGAGGTGAAAGGTTCCCAACATAGAGGTTTGTAGTTTGGGGATCTCCATCATCAAATGACCCAGGAAACTTTCCACTTGGATCAAAATCATCAGGCAGTTCATCAAAGCGACTAATTGGCTGAAGAATCAACAAAACATGAGCTAAAGATAGTCCAAATACTACGATATAGTTATACCCCAAAAACGCAATAAAAGTAGTCATAAAATCAAAATGAATCACGAGGAAAATATAGAGAACCTACATCTAGAAAAAAATATTGGACAAGAATTTGCTCGAAGTAGCATTAGAAGTTACTAGCACAATATCAAGAGTTCACATTACCAAGATTTAAATATGCTTTAATAAGGAAAAAGAATAAACTAGGAAATTTCGCATACAACAGCATAGTCAATCAGGATCTAACATCTCATGGAAAGACTTTCCTCTTCATGCGAGACAGCAAACGTTTACTTACAGCAGAACTGTCATGGCGCCCATCACGCCGCTGTTCACGGTCTTGATGACGCTTCTCCCTCCTCTCTTGTTCCATTTTCAGCTCCTCCAAAAAGAAGTCAATGTTTCGCGGCTTTCCTTTATCTTTCTCCTTCGGTTTCTCATCCTCTTTCTAAACATAAATACAACATGTTAGATAGAATCAAATACCAATAACCTGAGCTCAATGACTAACCAAGCGGATTACCCAGGCTCAAGCTTTATACTGTGCTAATCAGGAAGAAAATAGACAATTAAAAACATGCATCAATACTATGTTTATGCTCTTTTGCTGCAACAAATATGAATCAGAGAATCTACACTAAACAAGACACCTCGAAAACAAAAATCTTATTGAGGAAAAAACTGAACTGACAAAACACTAAGAAGATCATTTTATCAATGATGTCTTGCATCTAAAGATTATAAAGTGTGGGCAGGCATATAGTTACAGCAAATAACTAAGAATATGACACAAATACTGGAGATGTAGACATGCACGAGTGCACACATTCTAATGCATAATGTCCAGAGCTATTCAAAATCCTAAAAACAGCCAATACAAAAATTAAATTAGTTACCAGAAGCACTTTAAGAATTTGACTAATCATCTGGCAGAGTCTACTAAAGATGGTATAAAAAAGAAAAAAAAATTGACAATGTGGGAACACAGAAACTGAATGTCACACAAAAACTGACCTTCCTCTCAGGGTCTCTTCCTTTATTAGACAAAGGAGGTGGTATGAACGACGGCACGTATCTGGAAAAATAGAGCACCCAAATTCTGTGTTAAAGGAAGACCCACAAAAATAACAACCAAGAATACTAGGTCACCTATTTACTGTGTTGGATTATCAGTCCAATTAAGAGATCACATTTAAAAAGCATGCGCCCAAAACAAGGCCACCAAGTTTGTAGAAGAAGCTATGTAATAGACAAGTCACTGATTCTACATTTAAACAGACGAAAATGGACGCAGTTAGAGACTCCGAATAAAAAGCTAAATTCTTGAGATAAATTTTTGGATCTGTTAAATTTATTCATGAAAAAAATGAAAAGAGGAAGATATTGTCGATGTCTCCTCTTTTCAGATTACAGATTATTTTTTCCCCCTCTTGTAATGGGAGAGATCAATTATAGTGTTTTGACCAACAATGTTATAGAGTCTCATCTTTGGTAATCATGCCGATGTTGGCATTCGTTTCACTGAATACTGATTTTTTAAATGTTGTACCAGAGAAGATGATTCCACAAAGGCTGCATCTGGATGATGCTCACCTCAATATTGATGACATGAGAAGCAAATCTTCACCTTTTCTAGTTTAAGCTATCATGAACGAATTGTTCTAGTTCTAATTGTTTATCTCAGATAATCAGTCTGGCTACGTTTCTATGCAATGCACCACACCACCTCTGGCTATTTTTTTGGGAGGAATTGTACGGATATGGTGAACCAACACACAAGCCTTGTCAGTTGTCAGCTATCCCTGCCTTTAAAAGAGTCAATGGCAAGGAGACAAACAAATTCATCGCAGGTTACTCTTCATCTATACAATGTTTCCATCACTAATGTAACTACAACTGAGGCCTAAATAGAATGGTCCATTCAGATTGGTACTCCCTATCTTTCATGACAGGAATCACTCCAATCAGCACATGCATACAGGAATCACTCAAGTGGTCCAGATCACAGTATTAAACTTAATCTCTCTCTGAAATTTAAAAAAAGAAACAAGGTCAAACGATTCCAGGGAATATTGGGGCAAGAATAGATCCGGAACTTGCACCAAGTGGAAGTAAAGAACAGGGAAAGGGAAATCAGTGCCAGCATCCATGAAATAAGAAAAAGTAGAACGAAAGAAAACTCTGTTAGAAACATTTTTTCATCCTTCGCTCAACAAGCCCTCAAGAAAAAAATGAGGCAAGGAAAAGGGAATGAGCATGGTCTCTGAGTGAGTATTTGGGTGGGATAAGAGGAGGGGATGAACGTGTTTGTTAAAAATACTATCTCTTGAAAAAAGAAATTTTACATTTTTCTTCTTTTGAAAATTTATAAAGACGTCGTTAAAGTTATCTACCACTGCCTTTAACAGTTTCGATGTAATTCTCTCTAATTTGACTATTTCAGTCAGCACCTAATCAAATGGGACTAGTCTAACCCAAAGATATTGAAATTCTGACTACCATGAAAAAGGTTGGTGCCTATCTTATCAGAAAATTATAACTTCAGTCAGCAATTTTACGTAACTTTTTCCATTTAAGTTTAAAACCTAATTTTTGATATATATTTAATATTTGCATTTATCCTTTATAATTTTAAAAATCATTGCTATAACACCCACAAGTGCTTCGATTCTAGGGTTTGCATAATTTTTCTGTACCTCATCTGATCCTAACTCCAAAATCCACAAGCCTCCGCTAACATCAGACAATAAAGGAAAATAAAAGAAGAACAAATGGTGATCAACGATTGTCACTTGCAAAACAATTCCACTCTTTAGTGGGTAGTTCCATTCTCGAATGCCCACCCATAGATTTTAAGCCAACATTATTAAGTCAGTCGCAAAACTGCCTTACTGCTCAGGGAATCCAGCGTGATGCCTAACTCAAGACTGGTTTTCCTGAGAATTTTTGTCCACAGGGATCTAATCTACTTTCTTCTCAAGTTACTTCAGTTCAATGATGTTTCTGAATGATAATGCATTAAATTAATTTTAAAAACTAAGTACTTCAGACGCGCTATCAAACATTTTATAGGGGTTATGTATTCATCTGTCTATTTCTAGAAAATCAATCTCATTTCAACAAAAAGATGGACACTGTTTTTACATGTTCGTGAAATAGTGGCAAAATTACTAGTTGATAACTCTTCAATCACGGTTCGTATTGTACTGGTTTATAAATCACGCATGCTAAAAAAATCAGTTTTACGAATAGATCATAATAAATTGTTACACTCAAATATGAGAGAATGCTTATTTCCGCTCAACATAGAATGTTTGGCATGCTTTTAATAACCTGCAAAGTGGAGCAGAATAGAAGTGGCTTAGGACAGTTCGATTCCAATCGAAAGACAGGAAACGATAACTCTTAAAAGTAAGACAATATTAACTTACGTAAAAACCCTTACACATGAGGCTAGTGAAACCTATGCAGAAAAATGCCAGTAATTCATAGGAATGTACACTATAAAAAAAATATATCAAAATATGCCCAAGATATGAATTATATAGGTTTGATCACATTAAATGTGATCTTAGATAATAGAATGGCTGCAAACAAGATACAGGCATTTCGATAATAAAAATGAGAAGCCACGTAATGATTTATGACATATGTATATCATCAGTAAGCCACAATTCGAAAAGAAAATAATGAACACCAGCACAATCTTTTTCTACTTTATGAAATGACGATGACTTATTCTCGAATGTAGTCTGAAGCGTATAAAACAGCAAGCTCTCTACTCTATGCACAGAATATGCCAAGCATCAGGATTCCTCCCTTCAAAATCAACTGCGTTCAATTACCTACTGCCCTTCTTTGGAACAGATACCCCATCTTTTGAATTTCCACCTGCCATTACCGAATGCATAGAAAGGTCCGCTCTTTTATTAAATTATCCATGTAAACAGAAAACAACATGTATCCATTGTAATAAAGTAAAAACTAGCAGAGTGGGGCAAAGGAAAGAGTGAGAATATCACTCCTTAGGCACTAACCTTCCGAATCAGGCTTGTGCCTATCATTTGGATTGATTGTCCCGCCTCTGACAAAGGCTTTTGACCCAGGTGCATTATCCCCTTGGAAAGATTCCACAAACTCTTGATACAGCCGAGCGTTTTCTTCCTCGTCTCTCTGCGGAATGTTCTGATTAAACACTGCTCCAAAAGAAAATACGAAACAGCATAACAGAAAACATTGGTAGCAGCTGAAGGGGCAAAAAGAATAGAAGATTTCTCACCTTCTTCTTCGCCTCTTCCTCCTCCTTGTGTTTCTGAAATGGAGTTTTCTTTCGAGTAATCGAAAACGAGCTCATCTTTAAAGCTGGCACGCTGCTAAAAAGACACGATATTATGTAATTAACCGTCTAGACGCGTCAACATGCAACAAAAATGCGCCCAGATTTCCCACTAACATCTAACAAAGGGCATCGAAAAAAAAAAACAGCAAAAAGAAGAGAAAATAACGAAGGAAGAGAGCACAACCTAAAAGCATAGAAATATCAATAGCCCCCCACCCCCAACAACCCCAACACCAAAAAACCCTAAAACATACCCGGCGGGGTAGACTGAGGATATCAAGTCCACCAGACTTCGTCGTACGAGAGACGCGCGTGCCCTGGTTAGCCGACGCACACCCGGCGGCGGCGCCGGTCGGCGGTGGAGACGCCGAAGAGGAGGAGGGGCGAAGAGGCGATCAAGAGCTGAGAAAGCAACCGTCCCCCGTTTTGTCTAGCCGCGCCTCTCGCTATCCAACCTAATGAGAAGAAGAAAGCTCACTCAGCGTATCGAGGGATCGTACTTGCTCTCTCTCTGGACGGGGCCCACTTAACGGCCCACTACCCTCTCCAGTTCTCTCTCTCTCTCTTGTGCCAAAGTCACGGCCCACTATCCTCTCCAGATCTTTCTCTCTCTCTCTCTGCAGACACGTGACGAAGTTAAGCCTCAGGGGGAAGGATTATTTGACTTTTAGTCCCCAAGCCTTCTATAATTTAAAGATAACGCCCTGTATTTTTATTATGGCCAACTAAATCGCCCAAAATTTTGTTTTTCCGTCCATCTATCAAACTTAATTACAATTAAATTAGATAATATTTAATATGGCGCACGAAGGACAAAACTGCCCTCGGAGCGGGCTCCATCGGGCCACTCGAACTTGTTTCAACGGGCCGGGCCATCTTCATGATTCCCCCGGCCCGCTCTTGAAGATCGGGCCCGAGACTGAGCACTAAAGAAAAAAAGAGTTACTTTGATTCTCCCCCTCAAAACTATCAAAATTGTGGATAAGCCATTCTAACTGTTCAACTCTCTTTGCGTAAAATGTATGTCTGGCTTTTTCCGCAAAATCTAGAAATACGCGTATTGTGCGGAAATTCCACGTGTTGAGACTGATAAGGATCCGATATCTAAATCATGTTAGACCCGACAGGAGGATAGGATCCGACTTATACTTTCTCGGAAGCACCTACCTGGTAGATACATTGATTATTTGATACCATCATTTTCGTCCCACTTTTTTCCTACATTTATCCTACACAAAAGTGAGATAATCCAAAATTCAAATAAAATATTTATTATTTCCCATTATTTAATCTCCATATTTTGATCGAAATAAAAGACGAGCAAGGACAATAATTCTGTTCTAGTACGAAAAAAAGAGATGTATATATCATTGCAAGGGAAATTATTTAATTTTTTATGTACCTTCTGAACAATTATAACCAGGTTAATTTTTTTATCTCAAAAAAGAAAAATCAAGATAAATCAGGCTTTGAAACAATTGAAGATCTTGCAGATGATTAGAGTTCTTGGAACATTCTAGAGCTTACTGGTAAGAGGCTGATCAACAGCTAGCTCACTGAAGCAATAAATACTTTCTGTTCTATACACCACATATTGTTCATTCCTTTGACCATTCTGATAAATAAATAAATAATATATATATATATATATTATATATCGAGTCCAGCAACAAATGGAGAAGTCAATCCAAGCTTGGACCACATGAGAGAGATACATCCCTTTCTGGTAACGTAGGAACACTTCAAAGTTGACTTTGAGCAAGTCAATCTTTTCTGTCAACTGTACATCCACTGGAACAATACTCTGGAAAACTTGCTCCTGAATCTGCAGCTGTACAGTTTCTGCTCCACGATTCGATCGGGTAAATATGTACAACCTGCCAAGAGCTCCAATGGGCATTGGAGGCAAGGAGTTGACTGGAAACCACCGAGACGACCCAGAAGTCAGTTGAAAAAATAAGTAGACGTCAGTACTTCATGCAGGTCAAAATCGCCTCGGTCTGGCAGGGGTGGAAATGTCAATGTTGGGAAGGAAGATTGGAAGCTCTCGAGCAGCTGCATGAATTCGAGACCAACAACAACAACAGCAAAAACAAAAGTCAACTGATGAGCGGACCAAAGCAAAAATGGAAAAAATCGGACAATAATCAGAGCTCCCATGTATTCACTCACATTCTCAAGAATTGGAGCGCTGTAGAGCTCCACGAATTGCTCCCTTAAGATCCGATTCATCTCATCAACATCACACGCGTGTGTCCAAAATGAGTCATGCACCCCTATGTTCAGATTCCGTTCATTTCAGATTAATTCGAGCATGATTTAAAGGGTTTTTTCATCAAATAAAAAATAAAAATGCATGAGTTCCATTTTGATATGAATCACCACGTGAAAAACATCGATTTTCTCCATTAAAAATCATACAATCCCACCTAGAAAATTAAAATATTCCAGTGATTGAAAATCCTCTAAAAAAATAGACCCATGAAGGTTCATTCTTCTTCAAAAATCACTCAGAATGCCAAATCTGGAAAGCAAACCTGCAAACTCCAAGCCGGCATCCCTGCATGCAGTGGCAGTCATCATCATATGTGAGCCATCAAGTGAATGCACGAAGTTCGGAGGAAACGCAGTTGCCTGCCGTTTGACTGCAACCTGCAGCCGGCCATTAAGCGGCATCACTTAGGCAAACAGAAAATAATCTTCTTTCTCCACACCTATGACTCTCGTCTACAAGCAAGTAACATAGATGGGAACTTGAGCAATGTCGAGCTAGATCTTACTGAGTCGCTGTCACGTTGTAGAGACAACACCTGAAGGGAGGTTTTGATCTGAAACCATGAAAAGCAGAAAACAAATATGAGGAAAATGCTCAAGAGAAAAATACCATGAATTGGGCAAAATTATCCATCATTACACAAGAAAATAACTATTTGAATGATGGCTGCAAATATTCTTGCTTCAGCTGCTAGTTTGATAGCCTAAAAGCGATCAGCTACAGAAACTCCATATCATTCTAGTCACTCAATGAAACTAGAGGACTTGAAACTCAGAAAGCATTTGAAACTGGGATCTGGAATTGGACCAGCTTAAACCGTATCACTAGGATTTCTGCCCAGGAAATTTTTATGTTCTGATAAAAAGATCATATGAAATTCGAGTAACCTTAATCGAAACAACGTGTACTGCCACAAAAAACGGACTATATTTGAGATTGTTATTTTGATTTGACTACATAAAATAAAATAATATAAAATAAATATATCATTCTACTCAATACCCCATCCTCAGCATGATAGGATTTGAATTAAGATTCCTTTAGTCTCCAGTAGGTTGCAGACAGCCAAAGAAAATCTGAGTCTCCGAAAGGATTTTCATATGATAATCTTCTAAAGGAACCAGGAACTTACAAGGTGCCTCTCACTCTTCACATAGGGTTGTACAATGGGGAGACCAAGAGGGCTCGTCCATCTCACAGGCTGGTTCTGTGAAGCCATGACCTGCGCATCATATATTCATGAGAAGGCCCACATTAGAGTCATGGTACAGATCATTTTCATGTTGCAAAGATTTCAAAACTAGCTTAAACAGGCTCCAATCCTGATGATCCCACCTTTGCACAACTAGTCAACCAGCTCATGATCCCACGTGCTGATTGGAACATTTCTTCCAAGGCAGCCAACGTCACCTGTGTAATTAGGGAAAATTATAGTTGAATTAATTAAATCAATTCAAGCAAATTGATGCTTGCATTAGATGACGGAAGAATGGATACCTTTGCTGCATAGCAAGATACCCGATACAGCAATTTCTCGTCATCGATGAGTCCTCGTTCCTCCAATCTCCTCTTAATCTGTTCCCGCGCCCCAACATATGTCACACCGTAGACTGATGTCATCACCGTCTGCTTGACTAATTTCCTGTCCACCTGAATACTACCAAGACCCAAAATCATTCATTGAAATGTTAGAAAACATTTATCGAATATAATAATAGCACAAAACAGGGAAATCTACGCTGTAGATTCTGAATAAGAAACCTGATTGAGTAAAATCCTGGCCAGTGGGGCATTTGAATTAGTGGCAGGATCTTTCTCCGAATCTTTTCTGATGGTATCAAGAACCCTTCACAGATTTGGGACAGTATTAGGAATGAACTGAACATTGAAAATATAGCACTCATATCATCTTAAATAATGATTAGAACATGGAGAATTATAGACGAGAAATCTCACAGATATAAATAGAAATACATGAACAGCTGATAAATGATAGGCAAAGCAATTCATGTTGCAGATTATTCGTTGACACTATGAAACCATATCTCATACCTAGCAGCTATCCTTGAATATACATCTGCAGGCTTCTCCCCAGCCACCAGATTAACCGCAGCAGCCCCTGGCTGAGAATTACAGCCAGAAAACATGGGAAAATTTAGAAAAGTGGTCAAGAATCTAGATACACAACTTAATCATCACAAACTATAGAAAAAAAAATGAATAAATTAAATGAAAGATGAACTTACACAGTCCCTCCCTAAAGCTGCGTAATGCTGCAAACCATTACATGAGCCATCCTGAAAAGCAGTTAAACCTTTATTGCATCAGAATATTAAAACAGAGGTGGCTAGGGAGACCATAGCACTCCTGCTTCACTCAAGAAAAGGCTGGTAACCGCAGATTAAATCCAAGGGAGATCCAAGAAAATACCCAAAAAATGATCAGATATATAACTGACTGCCACCAAGAAACAAGTAACAAAGGAAAAGTTTGGTTTGACGATGGAAGCTTGGTCTTCAACCTTAAGTACAACCGCACATTCATAACGTATATAAAAAAGAGAGAGAAACAGAGGTATATTACTCAGATCCTTGGGTCTAAAATTGACTTACTAAGTAAGACAAGAGAAGTGAAAAAAAAAAACTCAACAATCCGACACTAAATGATGAAATTACTTATCTATTCCTTCGAAGGGAGTATGAAAGTCCTTTTAGCATGAAATGGGTCATTTTATGCTACTCCGACAACAAAAAAAAAAGCAAAACAAAAAATAACTAGAATCAACCACCACAACATAGAACGTGGGGTCATCAATGCACAGTTAATCTCTGTGAAATCATGTATTATGTTCAACTGCTCAACATCAGATGGTACCTGATGAATGGGCAGGTGGGAGACACCACTGTAGGGCGATGAGCTTTTTAGGGCATCAGAGAGGCTGAAGCATGCCGCCAGGCATTGCGAAGGGTCCTCAGCATTCAGCCACCAGCGTCTCCCATCAAGAGGCTTCTCCGCGGAATCCAATATATCCTCAATATGACTCTCCACAAATGAGAGACGCTCCTCATGGGCAAGTTTTTCTACTCCCCCAGCATATAAATTTGCAAGGTGAATCTTCAACCAGTACAACCCAGACTTCCCCAGTGGCCTCCCTTCAGCAAACTCCAAGAGCCCCCGACACAAATCCGAGCCAAAATGATTCAAGTGTGGGTGCATGGGGTATGCCCGGCCCCGGAAGTCGAGATTATGCGGGTAATAGAAACCATCCTCATCCTTCATCTTTCTAGCAACCTGATGATCAGAGTCAATTGATAACAATAAATATTTATGAAAAAAATTATAACACCCAGAATTTTCTATTTGAGCACAGGATGTTACAGAGAGTTTGAGCTCGATATCACAGCGCTGAGCATACATCTCGCTGTTGGCCTTCTTTACTCTCCTGGACTCCCATCTCCACTTTTGTATCTCATTAGGATCCTCTGAGTCCGGCTTTTCAGGCATAGGGATCTGCGGACCAAGAAAATAAAATAATATAATTGCCTAGTTTAGCAAGTTAACAGATAAATAAAAATAAGGCACAATATTAAAGTGAAATTTTGGTGCACACATCTTTACAGTCGACTAAGCCTGCTGTCCGCCCACCAGCACTCCAGATAGCCTCAATGACACTAAGTACCCTCTTATTCACCCTCCATTTGGTGGTTCCAAGAGTATCCAGAGCCTGCACGTAAACCCCAGGCCATTCAGAGAAAGTAAATAAAGCTTATACCATACTAAGAAGAGTAAGTAGCCGAAGATATCTGTTGCCCATTCTTATTTTTATACCATGAGTTTTATCTGTTCATTTCATAAACACCAAGAGAAATAGTTTATCCATTGCAAGGAACATGTTAATTAGTCATAAACTGCCCTAAGAATGAGATCACATACGCCCCTGATGAGCGTCTGTCCCACCAAAGATGGCCACATACCTATCAAAGATACCCCCCATACAGTGCCCTGATATTTAATGGTATCATAGACATATGTTTACAACAGGTTTTACTCGCATAATAAAAAAATAAGCCTATAAAATTCTTCACATGATACTTTCATCCTAAACTTTTCTGAAACCAGGAACTTATGCCACAGAGTTGAATCGACATTTCTTATTCCTAGTTACTTCCCAAGGCAGTACGGCCCATCTTTTCAAACCTAAGTGGAAATCCCACAGCATGCAGTGTGCCACAACCTACAGAAGGGGACCAGTCAACTGTGATTTGAGAAGAACAAGAGAGACTTATCACCTCAAAGACCTTCTGCAACTGCTTCCTTGGCACACTTCTAATCGCATCCTGCTGTGGTTTTGCTCCATGCGTGCGCATCACATAGGAAGGTAAGAACAAGTGTCCACCTTTGTCATACCTGCACAGAAACACGATGAGAAAAATAAAATTGAGCACATTCACACAGAAAGCATGATGAGAAAAATAAAATTGAACATATTATTCATCTAAATGGCCAACTGCGTGAGGAAAGGATCCACATATCTCACAATCAAAAAAAAAAAAAGGGTTCAAAAACTGCTCAGTTTACTTAAACATACGTCAAACAGAGATCAATATAGGAAGTTGAAGAGTTGGAACTGTCAAAGAAATATAAACCCAAGCAAAAAAACCATTAATATCCCCTAAACCCCCTTCCTAAAAGAATCATGCACACCGGTGTTTTCTTTTTTAGAGATCAGTGAAGGAAGTTGAACTGATAGAACTGGAGATAAATACAAATTAAGAAAAGGCAGAATAGCTGAAATGAGAAAAAAGATCCACCGCCACCCCCCCCAAACCCCTCCCAAAAGAGACAGGGGTGTCTGAGGCAGATGAAATAGAATCTACCCACATCAAGATGTCACCCAAAGAGCGGTACTGGAAAATATCATCTGTGATCAAAGGAAATTAAACCATCTTATAGTATGTTCCTCCTTCATAATGATCCCAATCAGAGGCATTTGTTTAGGGGAAAAAAGATGTAGAAGCTCAGCATTTTTAGGTCTATAAAATCCTCCATAGAAGACAGGAGACGAAACATCATCATTCGAAATATGTAGCCACATTAGTCTCTTTGATCCAAAAAAGACGAGCACTACAGAGTCCTCTATGAATTCATCAAAGGATCAGCTATCTGAGGACGAAACGCAATGGTAGCATAGAACCTCTCGGTCTAGCCTTCCATTATGGCCAAGAAAAAACTGGATTTTACTCTTCACCCCCATAACGAATTTGAACTGAACCAAATCTTCATAGATGGAAAATCAGCCCACGAATGGGTACCCTTTACATGAGCTGATACAAAAATTCCTTGCTATCCTTTATTTACTTTCAGAGTTGGGCCATCCAATTCACAACTACCTTGCCAATCAATGATCATTGTAGACACAGATCTATTTATATCATGACAAATAGGGGACTATTTAAGACGTTTTTTCGGTTTTTTCACGTGAACAGCATTAATGGGGTTTGTTCGGCCCAAGAGCAATTATCGACTCTAATACCATGCTAAATGTATTGGGGCGTGGGCGTCCAACTAAAAAATAATCAGAAATGAATGGAGCAGGATCATGTCCATAATCACATCTACAACAGCCATTTCGGAACCATTATTATATGGTACTCAGCAATTGGCAAAGCCATAGAATCCCAGCCCAATAATTTTCCCAGCCAGAAAGCACACAATATTCGAGGCCATTGTTAGGTGCAAAACTTGCAGCAATTCATTATTAGAAATAAAGGACGTTATAACCAAAGACATAAAAGAGATAAAAAACGGCAAAAATAATCCTTCACCCGGAAAGCAAGCTGGAAATATAGCAATGTAGAGAACATAAAATTTGTCAAAATATTCAGAGAATATACAACTGCAATCATACCCTTTCCATTTTTCTGGGTTTATCAGCATTGGCATGTAGGGAATCACCATGTGCTTAGCCTGAAAATTTAAATAAAAATTCATTAAATGCAAAAGAAAAGAGCAGTCCGAAAAAAAAAAATCCAAACATGAAAAGAGCATAAGGCAAAGGCTTAGAGAATAACGCATGATATCTGTAGTTTTTATTCTATTAAATAGACAACGCAGAATAGAAATAGTTTGCTATGTATCTTACAGTGCTATCAAGTCCTTCGTGGACGAGCGCATCACATTCAATAACCCCATATCTCTTCCCCGATTTCCTATAACAAGGGAAAGTAAAAAGATCAGAACTGTTATACGTACTACCAGTGTCAATTGAAGAAGGAATGAAAATTCGTGCTTACCTGTCTTCCTTCGAGACGGGCCTGAAAGTGTGCCTGAAGGCAGGCCGGATATCTGGCGGCACATCTACTGACTGAAGAGCTGGAGGTTGAACAAATGCTGTCTCCATCAGCAGTTCTACCAAACAGCTTCCCAGCTGAGTAAAAGGGATGCAGAAGATGCCTCAGAATCCATTCGAGAAAGCACAAAAAGGGTAACATTTTACACAAGGAAAAGGGAGAGCAGCGGACCTTGGCCTGGGCATCGCGGCCCCAAGGCTTTATCTCATCGTCGGACCTCACCAGCTTACAAATCTCAACTGATCGTCTGTTTTTCATCAACTTCCGAACGCGTTTTCTGAGGATTTCGCGTTGTTTGATTGCCCCCTCATTCTGATCATTCTGATCCCCGTCTCGTGTTCTCTTAGATTTCTTGAGAAACTTATGGATTCTGACCTGCAAGATGGAGCCAAAGAAGTGACGAAGGAACAATGGTCATTTCGTTGACGGACATTGATCTTGTAGATGAAAAACCATAGAGCGAGATGGGAAAGAATTATTGCCTCTTGTTCTATGGCCTCGCCAATGTGGATGGCAGCCTGAACTACCCGAACACAACCTTCCTCCTGACCAGTCATCAGTAGACCCATCATCTTGTGCATGACAATGACGGCCATCTTGTTGGCCGGCAGAAGCCCAATGTACGGCGCATACGATGCCCTTGTCTTCTTCTCCTTGCTGTTCTGCAGATTCTGCTCCCTGGCGATGGCATCCCTCAGGGGCTCGAACCACCCCAGCATCAGAGACTTCACGTAGGGCAAATTGGGGGCGAGCTTCTTTTCCAGCATCTCCCTCAGAAGTTCTTGGTACTCCTCGGCCGCCAGCTCCCACGCCTCCGTCTCCATCTTAATCTGCCTCCTCCGGAGAGAATGGTACCTCCACTTCCCCGCATCCTGAGCCCCTGTCTTCGGGAGAACCTTCAGATCCCTGGTAAATGCGAGGTAAAACCATGGCGGGTCTTCGTAGAAGACCCTCTTCAGATCTCCTCCGGCCCACAGGAGGGGGAGCCCTCCCCCGGGCCACCTGAGCCTCAGCGCCTCCTCCTCCAGGACCCTCGCCGCAGTGGCCTTCACCAACTCCTCCGAGTCTTCGACCAGCAAAGGGGGCCGGATGGAGCTCAGATGAGAGAACACCGCCGGGAAGCCATGGTCGGCTTCGGGGGGCTCCGGGCCCCCGGGGAAGGAAGACGACCGGAGGGATCTGCAGAGGACCCATCTAGCACTCTCCCACGGGTGGTGAGGAATTTGAAGAAACGGCGAGTTCTTCTGAATCCTCTGCAGCGCTGGCCCCTCTGTTCTTATCCATGAATCCCTTGAAACCCGCAGAGGGACTGGAGGGAGTAAGACGATGGAAGCCAGGGTTTCGAGGGTCCAGGAGAAGCAGGGAAGATGGCTTCGGACTGCTGGACTCTGGGGAGAAGGGAGTGGAGAGAAGGGGGAGTTGAGGGAAGATGAAGAAGAAGAAGAAGAAGAAGAAGCAGGAGGAGAAGAGGATAAAGCTAGCCGATGGAACCTCCCTTAAACCTTCCACGAGGGTAGGACTATCAACCATGCTTGCCCGCGGGAATATCTCCGAACTAATTGGCCCGTATGGGCCTTATGGGTGTAAAGGCCCGATTTTTCAGTTTGGACTGTATTCGGCCCATCCTATGTCGGATTTGGCAGGAAAGAGCCGATTCGCGGGTCCATGTTCGGAAAGCGATTCCCCACCCGGATAACCCAAGCCAAGATCCGATTTGAGGATGAGTCTACCGTTGACCGTGTTTGAAGGAGATTCCTCGCTCGGACAACGTTGAACCCGAAGACACGTCAGATTCCCACGAATGGATCCCAAAATTCAACTTACTACAAACTTTAAAATATTAAGATGATTTCCCAATTTTGCTTGCATCTGTATGTGTGTGTGTGTGTGTGTGTCTCTCTCTCTCTCTCTCTCTCTCTCTCTCTCTCTCTCTCTCTCTCTCTCTCTCTCTCTCTCTCTCTCTCTCTCTCTCTCTCTCTCTCTCTCTCTCTCTCTCTCTCTCTCTCTCTCTCTCTCTCTCTCTCTCTCTCTCTCTCTCTCTCTCTCTCTCTCTCTCTCTCTCTCTCTCTCTCTCTCTCTCTCTCTCTCTCTCACTCTCTCTCTCTCTCTCTCTCTCTCTCTCTCTCTCTCTCTCTCTCTCTCTCTCCATCTCTCTCTCTCTCTCTCTCTCTCTCTCTCTCTCTCTCTCTCTCTCTCTCTCTCTCTCTCTCTCCTCTCTCTCTCTCTCTCTCTCTCTCTCTCTCTCTCTCTCTCTCTCTCTCTCTCTCTCTCTCTCTCTCTCTCTCTCTCTCTCTCTCTCTCTCTCTCTCTCTCTCTCTCTCTCTCATCTCTCTCCCTCTCTCTCTCTCTCTCTCCCTCTCTCTCTCCAGAATTGATTTCATCCACGTCAATGATCAGGTGGACAACTCAAAAGGAAAGAACCTTCATTATATTAATAGAGTCGTAGGAGAAAGTTTTATCCAGAATCTGCAGCTATTTGACAAACGGTTCCACGCATTTGGGGGCAAATCAAGATGTGGAGTGGGCAGTTTGGCGGTCTTAATCATATTCGCAATAATTTAAAAGATTATTTCTGTGTTAGGTGACACAAAATACACAAATATCATATACGAGGAAAAAATAAAAATAAAAAGGTAATTACGATAACCCTGCCAATCCCTCAAAGTCAACCCTTCATCTGACTTCCCTAAATTAGGGTTTACCCAGTGGAGAGATGATCCAACAGAATATTAACTGTTTTCTAGCCAGGACGATTCTCATCTGAGGATATTATATAGGAGGAAAAAGAAAATAAAAATAAGGTAATAATGATAACCCTGCCAAACCCTCGAAGTCAACCCTCCAATCTGACTTGCATAGATTAGGGTTTCCCCAGAGCAGAGATGATCCAGCAGAATATCAACCATTTTCTAGCCAGGACGATTCTCATCTGAGGATAATAAAGTTAAGGCAATGATGATAACCCACCCTGCCAATCCCTCAAAGTCAACCCTCCATCTGACTTCCCTAAATTAGGGTTTCCCCAGAGCAGAGATGATCAAGCAGAGTATCAACCATTTTCTAGCCAGGACGATTCACATCTGGGGTACTCTTAAACAGGTAAGCATTATATACACGAGCCACATTCAAAACAAGACTATCTATGGCATGCTATTAAACAGAGGGAGCAGATTTTCAGCCAGGCACCTGCCACCGAATCCTCTGGGAGGCCGATCACACTGCAATCAGCTTCCGGATGTCCTTCTGCAAGAAACAGAGAGTCAGAAACTAGAATGCTCCACCAAAATGGAAAAATAGAAGCACAGCCAAGATGATGGATGAAGAAAGAGAAAGGCCCTCCGCTCCATACAAAGTTGAGCAATTTCATATTTAAATGATGCCCTTCATGCATTTCATATCATTGGTGGGGATCCCATTTCAATATTCATATGAATTTCAATCCAAAGTCAGAGCCAGTATATTTATTTATCCACAGTCTTGTGGTCTTATGTGTGTGTAATACCCAAAGATTGAAGGTTAAGAGACGCATGGATTGTTCGGATCCTGATGATCCCAGACCCCTTCGTACTAATGATACCCGTATGGGATCCTTGAAGAGATAGCTAACACCCAATTTCATCTCGGATTTCAGACCCTCTAAGGTACTCAGATGTGCCTGTAGGTTCCATCTTTTCTGATTGCGATCATTTGAGGGCCTGGGATGATGCTTTCTGCTTGGTTTTGAGCCAGAAAAATAAAAAATTATAAGGAACATAGCTTTTTGGAATGATTTCCTGGCCAGGGTCGAGCATGGCTACCTCAATCTGGAAAGGTGATGTCGTCGGCGGGTATCTCTCCACAACCTTGCCATTTTTGTTGACCAAGAATTTCTCAAAGTTCCACTTTATGAGATCACCCAAGAACCCACCGGCACTGGACTTCAGAAACTGGTAGACTGGTGCTGTGAATGGCCCGTTGACATCAACCTGAAGTACAGCGGCGCATTGATAAGGTTGTTGGCACGTGAATATAAATGTACGGATGGTATAGTGTCTGAGATTAGACGGTGCATGCTTCTCAAAATGTTCGGAGGGTAGGGTTACCTTGTCGAAAATAGGGAATTCCGCTTTGAACCTGGTGCAAGCAAACTGTTTTATCTCTTGATTTGACCCGGGTTCCTGAAACCCAAACTGGTTGCAAGGGAATGCCAGAATCTCAAATCCTGCATTTAAATCAAGTAAATAATCCTTTCCATTGCAACTCGTTACACTTCAACGTTCATAATCTTGAAGAAGACACTTTATAAACCATCTATAATTTGAGAAGATAACTCTTCTCTACTCAAAAATCAGATAAAAAAAATTCGTCAGATTTAATAGATGTAAGAAAGCCATGGGCTTTGTTTGTCTATCTTTTAGTAAGAAAAGCTAGGGACACATCTCATCCTGGTTCAAGGATATTTTTACATTTGACTTAGCTCTCCACTCTGCCCATATGTTTAATGGGCACATTTACTAGAATACCTTAGCTTGGCAAGGCTCTTATGTCTGGTTCATCTATCTAAATATTCAGGATTTAAAAAATTAAAAGAAGATCTTGCCTAAGAAGCATATAATCCCTTTGACGTCGGTAATGCCTCGGTCGAAAACATAATACGTTTCAGTCTTGTTTAAGGAATACCACAAATCCCATTCAACAGAATAGAAGCCCATTTGTCATGTAGGATGTTCATGCGAAAATTTCTGTGATTCTGACTTTGCAAAATTGACCATTTGGCCCAGGTTTTGTTTAGATCGCAACAGGATGATTAACGCTAATTGGTTGGTATAGCTTGACTCAAATCCCCATTTGGATATAATTGATATGTATACGTATGTTTGTAATGAAAACATGCCTCGGATTAAATCTGTGGGTGTGCTAGTCCTGCATCCCAGTGTAAATTTCCCAACTTAAACAGGGCCTGACCTATCCCAACTTCCATTACAGGCAGTTGATTATCATTTGAGGCAAGGATTTACAGCCTAGAGTTCAACCTTGGTTAGTGCTAGACTTGGATTGGGGCCCTAATCTGATGGTTAGAACTAGGATCGACAGAAACAACGCAAATTCAACTAAGTTGGACAACATGTATATAGGCTGTAGTTTGGTTAGGGTCAAGTACAGCCTGAAAATAATACCCTGTCCATTGATATCCTTGCTGAGCTTCCGAGCCTAAAGTTTGGTCGCATGTGTCGCTACTAGTCAATTAATTCCCATCATTTTCATAAAAAATGAAAGTGAGTTTGTTACCTTGAGTCTTGTACTTCTCGTAGATGTGGGAAAGCTCCATGTAATTGGATGTTGTTAAGCCACTGACATTGAGAAAAAAAACACTTGCTTCTATGAGAATACAGTCCATACACACAGAAGATTTCTAAGTATGATTAAAGCTCACTGCTAACTAATAACAGGAAGCACCAAAGTATTACCATCTTGAAGCAACATTGACGACCAATAGAACTTTTCCCTTGAATTTGCTAAGAGACACATCCTTCCCGTCGATGTCCTGATCAAAATAGCTCGTTCATCAGCAGAAAAAAAATGCGTATGCGTATATGAAGACAAGGAGAGGGAGAGAAAGCAAAAAACAGAGCCGACAAGATCCCATCCGACCTTGACGGTGTAATCGTGGATGGACTTCTCCACAGCGGCCGTGGCATGAACCACAACTGAAGTCCTCATTCTCCTCTCATTCACCCTCAGCCGAGGCGACGAGGCGGCGAATCTGCGGTTCAGTGGCGAAATTTGCTGCGATCCGGCGGGAGCTCGGCTCGAGAAACGGGCGGAAGCCACGGCAGGACGAGCGGGGTTCCTGCGGTCCGAGAGCCCTCGGAGAGACGCTGCGGGAGGTAGAGTGGCCGTGAAGGTCGCTGATGAAGCCATGGTCGGTCTCTGCGGCACCTCCCGCCGGAGCAAGCTCGAGGAGAACCAGGCGGCGACTACTCGCCTCTACCGGAAGAGGTGGTGAGGATCAGAGGAAATTGGTGGGGCCCCCGGGGAGGAGGATAAGTCGCGGGGTCCACCAGACGCCTCTCGTGGTGCTCGTCCGCTGCTTATCGTGGTGACTCTGTCAGCCACGTGTGCAACTAGATTTCCCGCGCCCCATAGGCCAATTTTCGGCCACGTGTGCGACTAGATTTCCCGCGCCGCACCAGCTAATTTTTGGGCACGTGTCCGACTAGATTTCCGGTGGCCCACAGGCCAATTTTCGGCCACGTGTCACATGCTACCGCTCCCCCAATTAGAAGGCCACGTGTACGTCTTACATGCTTGTTAGTACGCGTAGCCCAATTAGAAGTCAAAATCTGAACCATCCGTAATGGGCCACGAATGACTAATATATGTGGCCCAAATGTAGGCCCAAATAGGGTTTTACTTCAAACCCCATTAATCTTCTTTAATGAATTGTAAAAAGAGACTGCTCTTTACTAAATTATCGAAAAACGACGATAAACCTACATATATTAGAAATAAACCCATCGTCATCATCTCTAGAACCTCACAAATGACATTTTTACTTATGTTCACCAATTAAAAACCTCGATATATTCTCATACCCCTGTAATTTCCTCTCCTTCCTCATCTCTTTCGCTGAGATGCACAGAAGAGCCCGGAAAACAATATTGAGGATATGCCCTTGCTTTATCTAACACGATCAGAAACTTCAAGCCCAAATTATTGATGAGCTATAATAATGAAATAAATTAAAAAATAATGGCTAGCAGAATTAGTTGTACTGAGCACGTTCTAGGGTTTATCATATATATACGTGGCAAATGCTCTTCCTCCACGTGGCAGTCAGTCTTCTTGACCGTGTTCCATTGATGAATCCCATGCATAGAATACTCCGTGTCAGATGGATAGATATTTATGTCAAGGTACAGGTAATAGGTTGACTGGCCTCTCCAGGTAGGTATAACACGAATATTTAATCAGGAAAGGTTAATTAAAAATTGAACAATTAAATAATTTCGCAGAGATAGTGAGGAGGCCAGGCGCCACGCGGAGGAAGACGAGAATCCCTCATGTGCGCCTCACTGTCGCCGCCGGTCACCCTCCCGAGAGGGGAAGTAGAGTGATCTAGAGAGAGAGAGAGATAGAGGGACGGAGGAGTATGACGTGGATCTTTCTTTCCCGCCTCTAATCATTGAGACGGAACGTGGAACGGCGTGAACGGAGGACGAGTTTCGTACAGCGCCGCCGTCTCGTCGGCCTTTTCCGACAATGCGACATGCCGCAACTGGCGCCGCCGCCTTCAGTTGGCGGACTTCTAAAGATTCCGGCGACGTGAAGGTGGCGCCGTTGTACTTTCCTGTGCACCGCCGGCATCCAGTGCCGCCGCCCTCGCCTGTTGGCGATCCCATTTACGAGAATGCCCCCACGTGCTCTTATATATTTATCAATTAATCGAATATTCTCCCCTGAATTGGATAATTACCAAATATTTGCGAAATTTACGATATTATACCGTTTCTACTCCAGATACGTACGTAATTCGGAGAATGTGGTAAATTGGGTGAAGAAAATGACACGTAGGACGGGGATCGTGTCGTGGTCTGGTTTTCCCGCCTTTAGTGAGGGGTGGTGCGGTTAAGAAAACCGCGCGCGAGGAGTACGTGGCGGACGGGGAGAGGAAGGCGGGGATGAGGAGAGGTGGCGATGGGGTCGCAAGATGGCGGGATCGGCCGTTGCTGCGGCGACGAGGTTGTTCCGTCGAGCGAAGAGAAGGAGAGGTCGGGGGACGGGGGGAGGAGGGGCAGACGCAGACACAGAGGCGGAGGAGGCTGGTGATCCATCGATGTGGTCGGTTCTGAAAAGTTTCTCTGTGTGGCTCGCTACGGGGAAGCGCGATCTGAGACGGGATTCATCTCGGTCGGTTGCCAGGTGAGGTGCTCTGATCGATTCTCGTAAGACTCCGGACGACTGTCTCCACTTCCCTCTCCCTGTCGATCGACTTCGATGCTGTCGGGAGGGGTTCACGCTGTCGAGGAGTTGCGCATTTGATCCGTCTGGAGATGTTCGTCCTTCTCTTCGCACCACGAGAAACAGTCGCCACACCCTTTCCTCTATTGAATTTCCTCCTTTCCAGTGCAGAGAGGGTGGCCGGCAACTGCGAACCCTCCTCCCTCCCTCCCTCCCCGCCGGCAACGACAATCTCGTGACGGCTGGCAGCAAATTTAAAACAATTAATCTATTTAGTATTCTGTGGCCTCAGATACAAAAAGTTCTCGTGACATCTGTCCCTTCATTTACCCCCTACACAGACCTCACAGGTCCTCAGATTCTCTCCATTGATCTAGAAACTGTCACTCATACCGGCCAAGCTTTACGTGGCGATGTTTAGATGCCCGCCAGAAAATAATTAGGAGAAGCCTTGGATTCTCGTCAACTCTTGTCAAGGTTCGAACAGCAGTGATTCTTTTGGCGAGTCCTTCCATCTCAGATCAATCATTTAACTAGATGGCATCATCCTCCAGGTCAACGGCCCTGAACGTGCCTATTCCATTGGAACCTACTCTAATCTAAATAAAGTGGATCACCTTTGCGAGGGGCAACAATGACCTCCGGGTTCCTCCAGTGCCCGTCTATAGACTTGACATTAAGGTAAACTATGATTAGCTGATCTAATCAGAATAAATCACCAAAGTAGTCAGGTTTCTTGTAGAAATTACTACCCCCCTCCAGTGACTTTCCCACGTCCGCCATCCCAAGAATTTCACCTGAACCCCTCCCGTATGGCCCATCACTCGCTTCTCGTCATCCCAGGGCCTTCCTCCTGGAGCTGAGTTTCTTGCCAACCACAAATATCCCTCCTATCCACCCTGCCAAATGAGAAGCTAGGTGGGCCTGCATCAGGGAGAGGAGAGTCGAGTTTTACTTCTTCTTCGCGTGATCTTCTGTCTCCTTGTGGCGTAACCCCCTCAACCGATTGTCTTTGCTGGAACACCGCAGAGTGGAAGGTTCGGTGCTGTCGGTGAACGAGTTGAATTTCCGGGACAGATAATCTCGACGATCTGAGTTTGATGGTGTTGTGGATGGACGTTTGTAAGGCACAGCCGCCTGTCGCCATGGTTCAACGGAAGACCGCGGAGGAGAATTTGAGGCCGCCATTGGCTCCCTCAGAGAAGAACAATGGTGCCCCTGCGCAGCGCAAGTCCCGGACAAGGGAGGTCACGTCGAGGTATAAGTCCGGGATCACTCCCCTTACCATACCTCCTCCCTCATCCTCTGCGGCAACTCAGCGGTGTCCATCGCCCAATGTCGGCCGGACGGCTCTGTCACCGAGTCCACCTCTGCCCAAGCGGTCGCAGTCGGCGGAGAGGAGGCGGCCCCGCACGCCCACTTTCCGAGCTTCGACGCCGTGGTCCCCTTCAAGGTCTCCGGCATCGTGTTCTCCATCTTCAAAGACTTCCACACCGGTCCACGACGTCACAGCGGGGATGCAGCCCTCCTCCAAGAGGTCAGGCGTTGGCCGGACGGTAGACGGGCTGTGGCCCTCCATGCGGAGCCTGTCTGCTTCGTTTCTCAAGGTTTCTCTGTCGACCCCCCTGGGTAACAGGGACGAGAGAAATTCAAATTCCGATACCAGTCCCGATCACGCCTTGAAGTCTCTAATCCACGCTGTGGCACAGAGGAAGAGAGCTCCTTCCAGAGGGAAGGACGGCTCGTTTCAGTCGGAGAATTTCAAACCCGTGGAAAACACAGAAGCCAGAGCAACGGAGCCGCACCGGTGGCCGGGTCAAATGAGTACCAGTTTTTCTGCTCGAGGTACGTCCAGGAGTATGGATTTCAGCGACGGAGGCGGTCGAGCTTTAACCATGCCAAGCTATCTACGAGGTCCTTCTCCGACATGGATAGCTCACATCTCTGGGGAGCAGAGCAGAGGTCCCCAGAGGACCCCCAAGGAGGTCACGAGGACAATGTCCTTGGATGGAAGCGGACAGCTGGAGCGTGAACTGAGCGCCGCCATGGGTACTTCTTTATATCATTTTGAGAGAGCTCCTTCATCGACTCGTCCAAATAGAACTCTCTCAGTTCCTCTGGGTGGATCACCTTGTCCTTCCCCAACCAGCAAGCCCCTTTCGCCATCGTCCACTTCCTGCCGGAGCATGGCCAGTCCATCTCGCTCGATGCCATCAACTCCTGCTTCATCCAGAGCCTCTTTTGCTCGGACTGGGATCCAATCTTCCGTTATAAGTTACTTTGCCAACCTTCGGAAGGGAAAGAGGAGCGCAGCTCACATCGAGGACGCCCATCAACTGCGGATTCTCGAGAACAGGTGCTTGCAGTGGCGCTTTGTCAACGCCCGGGCTCAAGTTCCCATGTCCGTTCAGAGGATAACATCAAAGGTAGGATTTCGATTCTTTTCTCTCAGTATTTGACGTCCTTCTTCGTGTTCTCCTATGCCTTCAATTTCCAAGAGCATGATGCAAACTCCACCCTTTTCCGGTTTTTCTTCTGCCATACAGATCCTTTAAAAATTGTGATCCCTTCTAAATTCATGTTGTACACTCCAGAAGTACCAACATTTAAGTGGGTAATAGTGCGGTCTTGCGAAGGACCAGTTTTCCGAGAGTATCTCTAGTTAAAGATCCCAAAAATATTACCACATGGGAACTTTCCATCTATCCATCTATCCAATTGCGAAGGACCAATTATAGCTTTCCATCTATCCACTTCATGGATAGGTCAAACAGAGTTCTTTACGATTTTTTCTTGATGGATGATATACAAGCTTCTCATTGCGCAAAACAGAATATCCTATTCAATGTCTGGGACGCTACTTCAGAAATGAGTGATTCAGTCGTCGCGAAAAGAATACGGATGGAGCAACTGGTGCGGGAGATGAAAGTGAGCCTCATTTTGAAAGCTCAGGTATGTTCTGTCGAATATGGTGCCAATCAATTTCCTTCAGAAATTAATATCCCGTATTCTTCTCCGATTGGTCCTTGATTTAAACAACTATCAAAACAAGGCCATTTCATGGCCTAAGAAAATGGGGGGAAATTTTATTTCAGAAATAAAAACACCAATTTGAGCACATAATTTATGCTCTATTCATGGATGCTTACAATTTCTCTCGGGTAGAAAATAAATTATGCAAAGACACAGTAAAAAATAGTGAAATTTTCTACAATGAGACTGTTCGGTTGATTGAGTTAACTTTCCCAGCTTCAATTTTTTTCATAAATTTGATGTTCACGCTCTCAGACCAATGGAAAATGAAACTAGGAATCGTTATTATTGGAGATTAATCTGAAAGCTGTAATGTTTCAGATGAAATACCTTGATGAATGGGCATTCCTGGAGAAGGCACAGTCTGGTTCGTTGGTAGGGGCTATTGAGGCTTTGAAATCAAGCACACTCCAGCTCCCAGTCACCGGGGGAGCAAAGGTATCTATGTTCTCATATCTTCAAGAAAGATATGAAATGATATGTCAGCTGAAAAGCATATGATCAATTTTATGAGGAAATTGTTCCTCATCATGGTTTCCTTTTGCAGGCAGATGTCTATGCTACGAAGAATGCTATACGATCAGCATTTGATGTGATGCAGGCAATCGGTTCTTCCATAAGTGAATTATTTTCAACGGTGAGACTTTATTCTAATGTTTGGAAGGTCGTTCATGCATATTTCTCTTACCTTTTTTCTTGACAACATACAATCCTGCAGATATCATATTTTTTTTAATTCTAAGTCAATTACGGAGGGGAGATTTAAGGGGCTTTGTAGTTTTTTAACATCTTATTTTCTCTTTTCATTAGATTTCGAATTAATAACTAATAAATTCGGGTATCGTTTGAAATATTTATGATAAATAAGCTTACCGAGAGTTATTTTAGGTTCAATTCTTGAATTTGGATTCTCTCTGTTCATCTTATTCAAGATTAATTTTATCCTTATAGATGTGTACTCTCGAGTAGTTTCCCATGAATGATACCATAAATAAATAAATTTTCATTTCATGAGTGATAAGCACAGTAAATAATTTTACACAGAGAAAAACATATATGGAAAATCGTCACAATAATGGTCGGATGATGTGGTATTAATTTTTTGTTTAAAGCATAATAAAAATGGAAATTTTGTTCCACTTTATTATCAATAATTTTTCTGCTATGATTATCATTATTATTATGATGGACCAAGTGCAGGTGGAGGGTGCAAGTTCCATGGCATCTGATCTGGCTGCCACAGCAGCAAAAGAGAGGGCCGCGCTCGATGATTGCAGAGAACTTCTATCTCTCATAGCAGAAATGCAGGTAGATACAGAAATCAGTGCTTTTTACTAAAGAAAACTGACAGGGAACAAGACATGCAAACTGAGATTTGATATCAACATAAATAATATTTACTCTCTACGTTTCTCATATTCAGATGATTAGATAAGCAAACAATGGAGAAAATTACTTTATTAATAAACCACTTTGAAGATCGGGTTGGGCTCGGGCCCGGGCCCGGCGGCACCCCGACCACTGACGTGTAGTAGCCCCGTCTCATGAATCTTTCTGAAACAGGTGAAGCAGTCCAGCTTAAGGGCCCATCTCATCCAACTGAGACGGCAAGTGGTCGGGCTGGAGCCCACGGGCCCGACCATGGGAGCCCTACCGGGCTGACCCGGCCGAGCCCGCCGCTGATCTCTTCTCCCGTAGGAAAGAAGCTCTGAAGAAGAAATCTTCAGAATATTAGACTTCACCTCGGTAAGTCTCCGTCTTCTAATTCTCCACGATGTCCTGGTTTAGGGTTTCATTTGATTGAATGTGCGCATGATGAAGATGATGACTCCCCTGCAGGCTGCCTCCTCTGTTTCTCTCTCTCTTTCTCTCTCTTGCAGAGTGTCTCCACCACCATGGCCCTGTTTCTAAGCTGGACGTGAAACATGGGCATATTTGTAAATATTTTCTTATTAAATCAAGAGTTTAGTTTTATTTGAGATAAAGTGACAAATATGCTAGGACTGTATTTGCAAAAAACAACGTCTTCTTCCTCAGGTCCCCGCACCCGAGTTAGCCGCCCCTGCGGTTAATGAAGGTTGAGGAGTTGACCGACGGCGGCGGTGGCGGCGGCGGCGGAGGAACTCAGCAGTTGATTCCGCACTGGCGGACGTCGGGGCCGGTGGCTCTGATGACGAAGGGGTCGATCCTGACCCAGAGGAGAGAGAAGATGGAGGCGAGGAGCACGGACCAGATGACGACGATGGTGGGGATCTTCTTCTCCCTCCCCATGAGCCCCTTGAGGAAGGGATAGAGGTGGACGACGACCCAGAAGGCGAAGAAGAGCTTCCCGAACAGCGGCCCCCACGACTGGTACCCACTGGCGAGCGCCTCCGCCACTCCGGCCACCACCCCGATCAGGTTCGCCACCAGCAGACTCGCTGGTGGGATCAGCAGCGCTGTCCACTTGAAGGCATACAGCTCCCCCCCCTCGCCGCCGCCGCCGCCGCCGTCCTCTGTTCCGGCGGCCTTGGAGGTGACGGTGAAACGGGTCTCCACTCCGGCGACGACCTTCAGCAGCCCCTGCGCCACCGCCGCCAGGTGAGCGGAGACTCCTCCGATGACCCAGAACTGTTCGTTCCGCCACCACTCCTCCACGCTAACCCCGCTCCACCTCAGCTCCAGGACCCCCGTGGCGACTATGGATGCGAACAGCCCGATGAACACGAGGCTCTCCACCGCCCCAATCTGAATGAAACACCACAAGCAAAGTCAACCCTCATCCGCCCCTACGGCGGTCAACTGCGGAGGTCTTACTCACCGGCGGCATGATGAACTTGCCGGAGAGCAAGCAAACGGCGGGGAGGGCGCAGTAGGCGAGCAGCGGCAACGACGTGAATGGGTACACGGCGGTGTTGACGTAGGCAACCCTCTGCAGCGCCTTGAGGCGGCGGCCGTACCACAGCGGGTTGTGCCGGCCGAAGAGGATCTCCACCGAGCCCAGGGCCCACCGGAGCACCTGCACGAGCCTGTCGGAGAGGTTGACCGGCGCGGAGCCCTTGAAGGCAGCCCTCCGTGGGTTGCAGTAGACGCTCCGCCAGCCCCGGCAGTGCATCTTGAACCCCGTCAGGATGTCCTCCGTGATGGACCCGTAGATCCACCCCACCTGCAGACCAGAAGAAGAATGAGCTCAGCTTATAGACGGCGGCGGAGCTTATCGGCGACGGCGGCGGTGGCGGCGGCGGCGGCGACTCACCTCCGAGCCCCACTCCGTCTTGTCTTCGTACGCACAGCTGAGGACGTGGATTGCCTCCCTGAGGAGGGCCGCCGGAGCTGAGCAAGGAGGGACGCCGCCTTCGTCCATCAGGGTCGAGGTGAGGAAGGCCGGCGACAGCCCGAACCTCCTCTCGATGTTCATCTCGCCGCCGCCGCCGGCGACGCCGCCGTCTGGCTTCTTCTTCCGGCGGCCGAAGCCGGGGAGGCAGTCGCAGGTGACCATTCGTGGGCGTCTCGGGCGCTCCGGTGGCGGGTGCCCGTAGAGAGCTCGCCGGCGGAAGACGCAGCCGGTGCCGACGTAGGCCGGGCCCTGGATCCCGTCGAGGCCCTTCATGTTAATCTGCAAGGAAGAAGACGAAGGAGAGCTTCAAAGGTTGACCCAGATGGAGCATGAGAAGGAGGAGGATAATGAATGAGAGCTTCATGGGTTGACCCAGATGGAGGAGGAGAGTGGTGGGAGCTCACGTCGAAGAAGACGGTGTTGCGGTTGGCGTAGCGGTCGTGGCGGTCGATGCCGTCGAACCTCTGGGGGAACTGGACGAAGCAGACCTTCCTCCCCGCCGGTGGGTCCATGAAGAAGCACATCGCCTCCCGGATCGCCTTGCTATTGTTTACGTAGTGATCGCAATCCAGATTCAGCACGAACGGCGCGTTCGTCAGCACCCCCGAAACCCTAATCTGCAACAACAGCGCCCCAGGTGAGCACCACCACCATGACAGCCAAAACCCTAATTCTCTTGGCAGTGGAGGTAAGAAGGAGGGCTCCGACCAGAGCATTCATGGCGCCGGCCTTCTTGTGGTGGTCGAATCCGGGGCGCTTCTCCCGGGAGACGTACACGAGGCGGGGGAGCTCGCCCTCGCCGCCGTTGCCGAGGAAGACCTGGATCATCCCCGGGTGGTCGCCGGCGTTGTTCCCCGGCCACGGCGTCCCGTCCTTCATCGTCCTCCCCTCTGGCGGCGCCCTCATCGCCTTCGCCACCAGCGCGTTGACCCTCACCTTGAACTCCTCGTATTCCCTCTGCTCCCTCATCCAGCAAACAATAAATAACCGGTGACATTGTCTTCTATCTATGTAGGACAATCAGAGCAGGAGGAAGACCTTCATGGCGCGGCGCTCCTTGACGAAGGCAGGGTGGACCTTGTCCTTGAGGAAGTCAACCTTCTGGGAGAAGTACATCTCCGGGGCCCTTGGCTCAACTGCGAATCTCTTGCAGAAGGGTACCCACCGCCGCGCGAACTCGGCGGTCTCCGCCAGCGACTCAAAGGTGAGCATGGCGGCGCCGTCGTCGGAGACGAAGCAGGAGATCCTGTCCGCCGGGTAGTCGACAGCCAGCACGGAGAGCACCGTGTTGGCGGTGACCAGCGGCGGCTCCTTCAGCGGGTCCACCGTGCTCACAAACACGTCCACCGCCGCCAGCCGCGACGGTTCCCCTTCCCTCTCGTATCTGCACCACCAGTCTCCCCCTGTCAGCAGTCGCCGGCGCCGGAGAAGACGACCACCGTCGCCAGAGATAACGGAGATCGCACCTGAGGGAGAGGCGGTCGAGGTAGGTCTCCCGGTCAACGGGGAACCACTTGGGGAACTGGTCGAGGATCCATGAGACGGCGAACCAGACCTCGCAGACGACGGAGGTGAGCCAGAGGCCGGTGGCGTCGGGGGCCGGGTTTAGCATCCGGTGGCGGAGGAAGAAGCCGAGGGCGACCAGCCGGAGGACGATGGCCATCCTGTAGGGGTTGACCTTGCTTGATGCCATGGGTACCTTCCTCGACAGCGCCTGCCTCCCTTCCTCGTCCTCTCTGCGCATCGAAGCCCAGCGAGTCATCTCAACTCGCCCCGAGTTATCCCCCGAAGCCCGAAAAGAGTCTTCTTTATCTTGTTCCCTCTCTCTCTCTCTCCCTCTCTCTCTCTCTCTCTCTCTCTCTCTCTTTCTCTCACTCCCTCCCCCTCTCTCTCTCTCTCACTCCCTCCTCGCTGTTTCTCTGCTTCTCTCTATCTCTCTCCCAATCCCCCTCTATCTCTCTCTTCCTCTCTCCCTCTATTTCTCCAAGCTGGGTCCAGAGTATAAAATTCGAGTTATTTACTTAATATTAAGTCATCCTTTTATTCCAAAAATCGAAATATTTAGGAATGTGCCTACGTGGACACGTCGAGTTCGGCGTCTTCCAGGTGGCCGTCGATCTGGAAGGGCCACGTGGATCTCCAGCCGTCCACCTTCCAGCCCCCGCTGTCGTCCTCCTTGGCACCGCCTGCTCATCATATCATCTCTCCCCCAGTTGATCAAATATCCAGATTAACCACGTCAAATAATCTCACTATTATTATCGTCGCATTAAATAATCGCATTAAAAAATAATTCCGGAAATCTCAAATCCTAGCCCATGAAAGAAACCCCAAATATTTAAAAATTATCGACTTTGGTTAAGATAATGACATTTTGTTTACTAAATAGAGTAAATGACGTAATAATTATGGTCACCTGGTTGGGATAACGGGTAGGGGAGAAGACGCTTCTTCGAGGAGGAACGTAGGTCTCCGAGACCATGCCCGGGCGGCGGGGGGAGCTCGCCGCTGACCTGAGGTTATCAGAAGGTCAATGTCGACGACAAGATCGACGTAATGGCGGCCTATCTGTCCTATGGAGTCAGACGGAGGTGTAGCGGCTCACCGGCACGGACCGGGCACCAGTAATGATGGAAGGAAGGTCGGCGCCGCCGCCGTAATCCGCCGCCCCCCTGCCGGAGACTATGGTTGCCGGCGGCGGCGGGCGGTTGAACTCCTGGTCAACGTCGTCCACGTCGTCCTCGTCCTCGTCGCCCTCTACCCTCGGGCTCCCTGCGTGGAGGTGGGTGGGTTAGCCACGGCGGCGGAGAGAGGTCGCCGTCGCCGGAGGAGGAGGAGGAGGACCTTTGAGGCGGCGGTAGCGGGTCTTGCAGTGGGGGCAGACCTGATTGCCCTCTCGGCGCTCGTACTCGTAGCAGGGGCGGCAGACGGGGAAGGCGCACTCGTTGCAGGCCACGAAGAGATCGCCCTCCTCCTCCGCCGCCGCCGGCCCCACCTGCTCTCCGCATATCTCGCAGACACGGCCGCTCCGAGCGGCCACCGGCGGCGGGTTCTGCAACCACGGCGGCGGAGTCAGGCGGCGGAGGAATAGAAAAGCTACCCATAAAACGATGGAGAAATGGACGGGGTGAATGGGGAGGAGGACCTCGCCATGGCCGCGGATGAGGACGAGCTCATTTCTCTCGTGGGATCCGGTGACCAGCCCGGCGCTCGCTTCCATCCTCCTCCTCCGGCTTCCGATGGCCTCTGCTTGAAGCGCGTTTCCTGGCCTTTGTAGCCCCCCTCCCCTCCTCTGTCTCTGTTTCTTTCTCTCTCTTGCTGTGAACATGACCGGCGGGCTGCTGTGGGTTTCAAGTTTCCGGTTTGTTGCGCCTGTCAGCCGTAGCTGCCAAGGTAAGCTTGGCAGCAGAGTGGGTGAAGGAGAACTCTCTCTCCCTCTCTCTCTCTCTCTCTCCGCCGCCCACTCTGTCTCGTCGCCGGTCTTCTTCATCTTCCACGGCGGACGTTGGGTGATTGCTATGCACGCAGGGAATGGAAGGAAACGGAGAGAGAGAGAGAAGATGACGATCCGATCGGAGATCAAAAGCCAAACCTTTACGGCCAGCCAAGTAGAAATTTCCGAAAGTAGAACCCAAAACGATGATGCCATCAATCAGAGAAATACCTCGCAGAAAGAAGAAAAGATGATAAGAACGACTGCGGGTTGACGATAATAAATTAATTCATTAGCTTTATGAATCAAACCCTCGTCCAACTCGATCCAAGAATTTGCCAAAAGACCCACAAAGAGAGAGAGAAAAGACCCTACGGCTTTCAAGTTCCCATGAGAGAGACCTGGGGAGATTTACAACTCACAGAATCGAGCATCTCACAGCTGCTGCGGCGGCGGCGGCGGCGGCGGCGGCGGCAGCGCCACCATTAATGAAAAGGCGACCTCCCCGGAGGAAGAAAAGAGGGTTAAAAAAAAAAAAAAGTGAAAAAAGGGACGGAACTGGAAACAAAAAAACAGAGAAGGAACCGAACCCAATGGTCTTAATCCGACACCAGAGAAAAATACATACCACCAAAGACACTAAACAGCAGCTCAAAACCTCCTCGACTCAAGAGAGGAGCAGGGCCTCGCAGGCGGCGATCTCCCCCGCCTGCGCCGCCAGCACCGCCTCCCCTCCGGCGCTCTCCGCCGCCGCCCGCTTGGCGGCGCCGAGCACCGCCGCCCGGAAATCCGGGTCCTCGATCTTCTTCAGCGCCTCCTCCAGGGCCTTGAAGGTGGCGCCGCCGGCGACCACCAACCTGCCGACGATCTCCCCGAAGCTGCCGGGCGCCCGCGGGAGGTCGATGCTGACGTCGTCCAGCGCCGCCGCGAAGATCACGAACCCGCCGGCGATGTCCCCGGCGGCAAGTACCTTCTTTCCGGCGAGGTGGGCGAGGAGCTTCGCCACCGCTTCCACGGCGGGCGGTGTCCTGTCTAGAGCGAGGTAGATCGCCTCCTTCACGAGCTCCGGATGGAACTCGGGGCTTGCGAGCTCCTCCACGCACTGCAAGGCCTCGTCCAGGAGCCCCACGCTGAAGTACTCTTCCAAGAGGGACTTGGTCTTCTTCTGCAGGTTGGCGGCGACGCTGGGCTTCGCCGGCGCCGGTGAGGGCTTCTCGGCAGCGAGCGGTGAGGGAGGCGGCGCTGCCGCGGGGGCTGGTGGCGCCACCGCTGGTTTGAGCGGTGGGGGGGTGGAACCCTGAAGGAAGGCGCTGGTCTTACCGGAGATGAGGCCGCCGCTGCCCTGAGGGAGGAGGCGGGTGTTGATGGTGGCGGAGGGCTTGGCGAAGAGGGGGGAGTGGTGGCGAAGCTGGCCGTCGGCGGCGGCGGCACCGCGGGGCATGGAACGGGAGCGAGGGACCTCCCAGTTGTCGCCGTCGGGGGAGGGCATGCCGGGCATCTTTCTCAGGCCAGGCATGCCGGGCATCATGCCGCCGGCGCCGGGCCGGCCGACGGGGAAGCCGCCGGCGGGGGGGGCGGCGGCCCCGCCGCGCCCGTTCTTCAAGGTGGCCATGGATCCAGGGCGGAGGCCCAGAGTCTTCTCCGCCTCGGAGTGGATCTCAGATATGGTCTTGGCCTTGACCTGCAAAAGATCACCGGCGAATCAAAGAACAGCGTAATCTATATACATATGAACTGATGAACGCAGTGCGAAAAGCCATGCTTTTTTTCACTTTTTTTTTTAATACCCATCACGGGATCTTCCAGATTCTATAGAATTATCGGTTTCAAGATCCCAGAAAAAAAGAAGAAAAAAAAAGAAAACTGGGCGAGAAGAACATGGCAGAAGCGGGTGAATGAAGAAGCTCTCACCTCCTCCCTCCGGGGGACCCACTTGTTGGAGCGAAGATCGAGGACATCGTGGACCATGAACCTCAACCGCGGCGCCAGCTGGGGGTTCGCAGCCAATTCCTTCAGGCGGGCGAAGTAGCTGTCGTTGATCCGGCACGATTTGGGGTTGTCATCCAGCTGCTTCCCGATGGTGTTGAAGAACTGGCAGATGGCCTCCACATTCTCCTCTTCCGGGCACACCTTGCTGTCCGCCGCCCCCAGCAGCTCCTGCGCGAGGACGCCTCCCAAACATCAGCCGAGCATGCACCAGGCAACGAGGAGGGGGAGGAAGAGGAGGATGAGGAACCTGAACGATATGATGAACGATCTTCGCCTGCACCATATTCTGCTTCAGGAGCTCCCCAATGAGGCGGATGTTCCCCAAGGTGCGGAGCTTCAGCATCCTCTCCTTGTCCTTCCGCTCTGACTCCTGCTCCGGAGCTGTCAGCTTTCTGATCTCTGCCCGGAGATTGCCGGCGCCTTCGAAGGCCTCCTGGCAGTTGTTCAGGAGAATCCGCTTGAAAGTGAGGGCTTTGCCGCCGGGCTCCCCCGGCGGAAAGGGCGGAAGATTCTCGTTCAGGTCGGAGCACAGCTGGGCGTACATGGGGCAGAAGGTGGGCTCCAGCACTGCCTTATCGAACACGAGCTTGATGACATCCTGCATGAGAACTCATAATTAGTACAGTTTCAGCATCTCCCAGCAGAGGATCCGGCAAATCATATCACCTCCAGGATTTCTGGAGTGGTGATCCCCGACTCGATGAGCTGGCCCTTGAGCACGTCAAACTTCTCCGGGGTGAGCTTATTCAATATACTGCGCAGAGTAGCATTCAGAATCATCACCAAGTCGAAGAGATTATCCCAAGCAATGAAGATGCATGGGGCGGAAGAGACAGAAGAATGTTGAAGACATTCTTATCACCCATTAAAAAAAAAAAAAACAGGAATTTTATTGAGTGGGAGCAGTGCAGGAGAATATTACCCTTTCACAGCCTTCAAGACCCTATCTTTATCAGATAGATTGGCCCTCCGTGCGGACCATGGGACTTCAGCTTTGGTGAGGGCAGCAGATGCCCCGGCCTGATTCCAGCAAGGATTGAAGGTGAGAGCAAATACCAAGAGAAAAAAAATCCGTCATGCAGTGAAGAAATTTGTCTGAACTCGAGCGCTCACGCCAAAGCAGAAATTCAGAGAGAAATATAATAAAATATAATAAAATAGTGCACGCATTATTTTGGATGAGAAAATTTAAATCTCTCCTAGTGTAAGTAAGCATAGATGAACTGCATGCTCTCAATGGATGAAAAACAGCGGGCCAGTTATCAGATATACTATTCTTCTCCTCAATTTAGACATTACAAGGCATGGTATCAAGAGTTTGAACACGTTTTACTCCGGTACTGGAACAAAACCCCAGTCAACAGAACACAATGCTTTGAGAAGGGGGACTTCTTAAATATCATAGAGTAAAGAAACATTGCGATGGATTGTCACTTCACTTATATAAGCGTTTTAATTCTTGTGGAAGGACATTTGAACCCACTAGCTTGCTACTAAACCAGAACGAGCAGGGTAGATGGGGAAAGATATTCCACATCTTCAAGGGCTTTTATGGCATGGGAAGCTGACTTGCTTGTATAGCGAGGAGAGTGCAGTGTTGCCCACATCTAAACGTCTCTCCTTACAAAAAGAATCGGGGCAATGTTGTATGGATGGCACATTACAAATTGATGTAAAACATACCCTCCAACATTCTTATACGACTCTCAAAACTTCAGTATTATCTAGACTCATGTAAACTACCATAAGTTGAGTATTCCCATCATATCATGATCCATACCGCATAAACAGTAGCATGCAAGACGATTCCGTCTTGATATTATTACCAGTATCTACATCGTAAGGAGTCAACCAGGCTTGATATCTGAACAGTTCAAGAAAGAAGTCAACCAAGGATAGCATACCTGATCTAGCTTTCAATTCAATACAACCAGTTTAAATAGTATCACCAGTATCTATATCGTAAGGAGCTCTTTCATTTTCTTGTCAGTAAGCACCACATCAACCATTAATGAATAGTAAACTTGTTCACGGCAAGATGAGGCTGGCATGTCCACAAATTACTATGATAATTCCAAATGACGATGCATTAGATGTATAGCATTTTACTCCACTGCAATTCACCAATAAGCTATCGTGCTGCTGACTGGATATTTGGGACGTGAAATTTTTTATCACTATCAGCCATATACGACAAACTAAAATAGAGCCGAAAACAAGTAGGGATGATGCGACCAAATATGCTAAAAACACATTTGACTTTAACCAACTCAGATTGATGGTCCATAGGTTGAGCTTTTCTGTGGGCATAAATTTAGTCGCATCTTCAAACATTTCCTAATTTTTTTCATCTACTACTCCTTATCACTCCCCACCTGTGCTTGCCCCATTAATCAACAGAAAGTTATTTTTTTTATAGAATATGCGTCCAAGGCAAAATCAAAAAATATTGTCATCCTAACATTCAAAAGTGAAAATAAATAACGGTTCAAAATTGAACAACCGTCTAGCTCTAGCAAGACAAAACCCTAAATTACTTGCAAGGCAAACTACAACTTCGAGAACATATCACTTGCAAGTAAACAATCGAGTAACATCAACTTCCTTCGGCATATCACTTGCAAGACAAACTACAACCAAAGCAAAACGGAGAACAATCGAGAACACAGAACCCTAAATTACCTCTAAACAGGCACAACTCGAGTATATCAACAGCAAGTAAACAATTACCCTCCAGGTATAGCTCAGTGATACACCGCTACGCTATCAGAATAGTATAACAAAATTATCTCGACTTTCTTTCAACATTTGCCTATTTCGGAAAGAAATTACCTTTTCTTACCAACAAACGCAATTACAAAGATGACAGAACAGTTTTAACTTCGCTAGCTTTCTCAATAAAAGACCAAAATGAAAAACATTTTTGACAACTTAACCGAAAAGTATTGAAAAATCATCACAGAAAAAATCTAATATCAAATCAAATTAAAATTAATCAATTAATCCCCGCAAAAAACTTCTGCTAATATTATCCGCTCCGTATAATGTAGCATCAACCTGAACTACAGATGGTTTACAGTCAGAAGAACTCCCTAATCAAGACAATAAAGACCTTAAGAAATTATGCCTTTTTCTAGTTCAAGGTGCCAGACAGTCGTAGAGAACAATTGGAAAATGTTAAAATTAAGGATGCAATCATAGAAAGACTTAACTACGATTGCCTTTTACCACAATGGAAGTATTTAAATAAATAATTACAAAAAATCACTTTTAAAACTCAACTATCATGGAGAAACAGGGGAGTGTTATTAATACAGATATTACATTCTTCGTACCCCTACCCACTTCTAACACATGCAAATGGTAAGCACACGAGAAAAAATGAGTCGAAATGAGTATACGTGCAAGTTGACGTGAAAATAATAATACGAGAAAACACTGTGGGTAAGATGTTAATACAAAAATTTCCTGCACGCGGACCTGTGCTTTAAAAGAAAATTGGTCCTGGCTACTAATTTGACTGGGTTCTTGCTGCCTCCAACTGGATTCTTTGGTATCGCGGATTGTTTCCCATGATTTCTCGTCTCCTGTGGATGCCAATTGCCCAGATCGGCCCCGCCAATCACGGTTGTCAGGCTCAGTGTAGCGAACTTGAGGTTGTACTTGCACCTGAGAGAGAGAGAGAGAGAGAGAGAGAGAGAGAGAGAGAGAGAGAGAGAGAGAGAGAGAGAATGTTAGCAATACATTGCACAACTTGTACATGAACAATAAAGTAACGAGATAACACTTCCATAATCATATTTTAACATAAGAAACTCGTTTCACATGATCACTCGTATGGAACAACAAAAACCAACGTGCGAAGCTTTAGCACAGGAGAGAATAATCAAGTGTAAAAAAAAAAGTGATGAAATTGACAAACATAATCGTTCCAATAGATGAGTATATCAAGATAAAAAAAATTAATAACGAAATTTATAAAAAAGGAAATATGAGTGAAACATCAATCGACGAATAACAAAAAAGATAAAAACATAAGCCTGCAACAACTTCATTATCATCTAGGAACGATATGCAGGTTACAGAAAAATGACAATGGAACTCACTTGCACATCACTACGGCCCCATGTCTGCTCTTCACCAAAAAATTCAACATCAACTTCTGCTTTTACTTTCATGATATCTTCAGGGACATCAACAGCCTGGAGAGTGGGAGCACAATGAGAAAGAAGGTATGCATAGAATAAGAAGATCTGTGCCAGAAAGCAATCCGTAAAAATCCAAAAACTAAAGTAATGCTGCATGCGCAGAATAGGTCAATAGAGTACCCCACAAACTGATATGGTAGTTTTTTACGTGCTAAACTAACTGAATGGCATCTATTTTAACTTTTCTGGTGGTATACACATGACCGAGAGTATTGAATAACTTGTCAAGTCACCTCGATAGTATAAAAGAGAAAAAAATACAAATATAACTCACCGAGAATCAGGCAACTTAATGTATTACAATAAAAAAAACAAATCAAGTACCTCACGGAGTTGTAAAAGCTGGTCACGGGTATAACGAACGCGCTCATGCCCTTCAAACCGCAAATCTCCCGTCTGAAAACAGGTAATATGTCAAAAAACACAGAAGTCAATATTAATTGTATAATGATTACTTTCCACTGTAAACAGTCTGCGTTCGGCCATATTAAGTCATGAAAATTAACACAAAAGCACCAAATGTATTGCTAAGGGTATTGTAGGAACAGCAGGTGATAATTCGTGCATTACAGGAAGTATTCATTGGAAATTCTAAATTGAAATGTAAGCTAAATGAAACATTAGCAGCCAAATATAATAGCACTACATATAGAAGATTCTTGTTTGAGATGGAAAACGTAGTCGCCTAAGATTTGACTTCTATCATAAACTAAATTTACAAATGTAAAGAGAAGAAAATAACGTCCAGTTACTCCAAAATAACTCCCAGAGTTGGAACATAAAACTGCAGGCATCCCTAAACTTCCCATTATCACAAAATAGACATGAAAAGTTAAGTTTGTAGAGAGGGAAATTGTCCATCCAACACCAAGTATGAATAAGAAAATACATAAAGAACTAAACTTTGAAGAGGTTATTTTCTTTCCACTCGAATATGTGACCAACACAACAAATGTGTGGCCGAAAAATGTAAAACAAAGCTCAACTGAAATACAGCTCGGAACTTCCGTCTCGAGCCAATATTTCGTCAACCTACAAACAGCAAACGAGATAAGAATATTTATCTACGATGTGAAAAGTTGAGAAAACACACGGCGAGGGAAAGACACATTTCTTCCGAACTATAAAGGATAGAACCTGAAAACAATAAAACGGGCGATAAAATCCCACGTCCAGAGTGAATAACAAAATAACCCGTCCATCCAACCACATAATTTACCTACACGATCCGGAAAGGACTTTCCGATCCATCAAAAAGGATTAGAGCAATAAAATATACGGACAGGGAAAACAGAGAACAACAAAAGCAAGGATCCAAATGAGGCCTAGATCAGCACACCCCCAGAACCCCAGCTCACCTTGAACGAAACGCCGCCATGAGGCCGAGAATCGGACGAAGCCGAAGAGACCAGCGACGAGGAGCCGAGGGCGGAATCGAAGCGGGGAGCAAGGAGTCTGCCTCGGTTGCCGCCGCCACCACGAGGCCTCAAGCTCAGGACCGTCTGATCTGCCTGCATAACTCTGCTGATTCTCACTGGGTGAAGGATCTCGAGCTTCCGATCGACTCGGACAAGGGAGGAAGACGGGGCCGGACAAGGGTGCGAGAGGCGGAGCACCTCGCGGAGGGATCCCTCTCTTCCGCCTCCGCTATCGCATAGAGGAGAGAGAGAAGAGAGAGAAAGGAGAGAGACAAGGGTGGGCAGCAGAAACCCTGTTTTATGGACTCGCCAATCCGAGTGACACCCCGACTCGGGCGAGTCCAGATCCCACGGCTCGCGACACAAACATTCCTAAATCAACGAACCATCCCACGGCCGATGGACGTCCACGTGTTTCATCCTCCGGTCAGATGAAATCAGGCGGTGCGCCCGCCGCCGGGTCGCACTCTCTCGACCCGGCCCCAACTCGGCCTACAAGCACATCGGATTATTACCTTACTTGACCAAAATACCCTCAACCTTCATCCTATTATCGGATATGGTCCCCAAACGGCGCAAAGAGCAGCAGGTTAGTTAAACCCTAGCTGACGCAGATTCCGGCACAGGACGTATCACACGTGGCGTACTTCCATTGGAGACTTGCTCTCCCGTTTGGTGGCTCTACGGACACTATGGATCGAAGGTTCCGTGCGTCGTGCATCCATCTCCGACTGCTCCGCTGTCCGCGCGACGAGTCATGGATATGCACAACGAGCCGGAAGCATCTAATCGGGTCCGGATCCGATAACCACTTCATGTGTGGGATATATATCTCTCACAGAATATTAGCTTTCCTAAGTTTATTAACATTTAGTGAAACTCTTTCCAACTGGGGGTTGACCTCAGCCTCTGGTTTGACTCTGTCTCTCTCTCTCATAGGGTTGACTTGGCAGGTGGTTGGTTTTAGAGTGCGGTCAGCGCTGTATGGTTTCTAACCCTCGGACGCCCACCAGAAATCTGCTAATCAGAAATGCCGAATGGAGTGAGAACGGTCAATCGTTGACTCCTCTTGGGAGGATTGGATTCAATGAAGATTCAACGGGAGCCAAGGTGAGCAGGTTCCGTTGCATTGTTGTTGGAAGAGGGAAGATGGGTTTCATTATATGCACTCATGATATACACAGTAGAGAGAGAGAGAGAGAGAGAGAGAGAGATGAACAATTCGTAATTACAACAATATCTGCACAGCTCAAGTTGAATTTCGTGTATGAATATGAGGAGAATTCAGGGGTGAAGAAGAAGAAGAACAGGTCAACCTGTGAAAGGAGTCTCCTTGTTACAGAATGAGAGAGAAAGAGATAGAGAGAGAGAGAGAGAGAGGAGGGGTAAGCCGTGAAGATAGATGACCTACACACACCCATGAAGAAGGCGGAGGAGGAGGGAATTCCTTCCATGTTCAGACGTTGAGAGCCACCTGATCCTGCCAAGAGATCTTCCTCTTCCCCGTCCTGCTCGTCCCGCTCCCAGTGTCTCTGCAGATCAACAGCTTGAGATCTCCCCCCGCCATCTCCATTGGATGGGACCCCCATGCGCCCGGAAATTCTCCTTCTCCTTCCTCCTCGTTCTGCCGTCACAGAGAAACCCTAATGAGGTCGCGCACCGGCGTATGCATATGCGGAATCTCCCCGGGATAGAGTGCGAATGGTTACTGGCAGGGAGATCTGGTTCAGGTCCAGAACCGCCGCGTTGGTGGGCACGGCGGGTTCCTTCTCCCTCCGGCTCCTCTGGCGTTGACGAGGAGGGAGTTCTTCGCTCTGAGGCGATGTGTTGAGAAGGGTGGAATTTTTCCGCGCTCTGTTCTTCGGTGCCATGGGGGTATTCTTAGGGCGGGCGCTCTTCACCTTTAAGGGGGATGGATCCGCTGTCAGGTACTTGTATCTTCTTCGCAGGAATCTGAGAAGGAGAGAGCGGATCAGAAGGGCGGCGGCTCTGCGAGTTGAATTGGAGCCGAAGAAGATGGGCGAGGCCCGGGAGATCACCTGACTTCGTCAGTGAGTTTCAGCGCCCTCTGTCGATCCATGTGCAGTCTCTTCCTCTTCGCTTCTGCTTCCTGTAGAAACAGAGAGGTCGGGATCATTCAATTCCCTTGTGTGGATGAAACAATCGGAGGTGTATCTGGCGAAAAGGGAGAAGAAAGATCTATGGATGAAGGAGGGGGGCTCTGAATCTGCAAATCTTCGTCTGATCTTCAAAAGAGAGAAACTCTACGCGAGCAGGAACCCTAGATCTGAATCTAAAGAAAAGAGAACTACGTGCAGAAAACCCTAAACGGGAAAAGGCCCCAAATCCTCAGGGTACGAGGGGCTCAACGCGCCAGATTATTCCAACTTTCCGAGCGGATTTTGGTGAGGAAGCGTAGATCTCACCTTGAGCAGATCGTCGTAATCTTGCATGAGCCCCTGGAGCCTGAACATCCCCCGAGAATCATCCCCAGCCACAGGTGCCAGGTACGCATGCGCCGGAGGAGCCTCCGCCGGAGCCCTCCTCGCCTGCTTCGTCATCAGCCGGCGCCGAAATCCAAGCGAACAGAGTCAAAGATCCCGGAGCGCGGCGCCGAGGAGATCCTAGGGCAGCAAAGAGGGGCCGGGAGGAAGGTCGTCGCGTTGGAGCGATAAAGACGGAAGGTCCGGGAGGCAGATGGAGGGCGGTGCAGGAAGAGAGAGAGACAGGAGAGAGATAATGGAGATAATAATAAAGGTTGAGAGCGGGCAGGAGGGAGGGAAGAGAGAGAGAGAGAGATGGGGTGGGGGGAAGGTTCCATCCTTCCCTGGTTTCTCTCTCTAGGCAGGACAAAAGCCCGAGAGCACCCGTATCCGTTGTAGGCAGACATCTTGATTCAGTCCTGCAGGCTCCACCTTCATCTCCGTCTGACCTGTGGTTTCTCCTCCACACAAGACCACCTTCATTCTTCTAGATGGGCCTGCGGGATTTATTAGAAAGGAAACATAGAGGCCCTCTCTTTCTCTGTCTTAACCATTCTGCCTCTTCGTCTTTGAGTACAGAGAACTCGGAGGGGTTTGCGGAGGAAAGCGGCACAGTCGTAAATTGAAACTTTATATTGTCATTAATTCTGTACTGAGGGGATGTAGCTCAGATGGTAGAGCGCTCGCTTAGCATGCGAGAAGTACGGGGATCGATACCCCGCATCTCCATTATTAAGCCACTCTTTTAACCTTTTTCTATTGATGTCCTTGGAATCTAGAAAAAATGATTTCCCATTTTGATTCGTACTAATCTGCGAATCTTCAGGTGTTCTCAATTCTGATCTTCAATGCTTCCTTTCAGTTCCTCTGCTCTTCCTCCACAAATACCTTTCTACAGAGAACACTAAACCATCAGGCGCGCCCTCACCTGAATGTGAGAAATAAACGATAGCCTCATACGAAGAGCATCATCAACGGGGAGGAGATTAGCCAAGGATTTGAACATCCAAGAGACCAAACAAGATTCTAGTTCTAAATTGCGAGGAACTGAGTCTGATATATGATTCACCTGTAGATAGCAGCGTCGTCCAGATCCCAGACTCCCATCGATCCTGAGCAACGATCTACTCAGATCCCTCACGCTCGCTTTCTGGAAGTCCGCCGGTGCACCGCCGGGGAGGTGGAAGCTCGCTGCCATGATCCACGTGAGTAAGCAGCATTGGAGACCGAGAGCTTTCATCAGAGTGGGCACGAGGGGGATGGAAGGATGGGAGATCGACGCCGAAGCTCTGGTCTGATCTTCACCGCCTCTCTATCTCTCTCTCTTCTTTCTCTTGTACTGCAATATATACACTCGAAGAACCAGTTTTCCCGCCCGTCGGAGAGAAATAATTAAAAAGTGAGAAAATAAAGATATATTATCGGGCACGATTCCAGAGGAATCCGTTAGACCGTTACTGAGTATCCGAAAACCACTAAGAAATCTGACCACAGTAACTCAGCGAGCGAGAGAGAGAGAGAGAGAGAGAGAGAGAGAGAGAGAGAGAGAGAGAGGTGTGTACCTCTCTCCTCCACGGAGTCGGAAGCGGCAATGGAGAGGACGACGCGGAGATTTCCACGGTGACGTCTCGAGGATCGCTAGGGTTCTCGCCAGAGCCATCTTCTTCCTCGCGGGAAAGCTGAAGGGATCCAGAGTCGCGGGGGGAGGGGGGCTGAGAGAGAGTGTGAGAGATGATGGCTGCGGCGAGTAACGGCGGCAGAGTGATCTGCGTATTCTTCTTGTCTGCTCTGTTGATTCCTTTTTCCGTCTTGGCCTCCTCATCGTCGTCGTCTTCACATTCCTCGTGTAAGGCATGGCTGGTGCAGTCCATCCCCACAGACATGCCCCGACTTGCGCGCGTCGACGGCGTCCTGTCCACCGGTATGGGAAAATCGCAAGAGCGTTGACCTTCATATGTAGTACTTGGCGTTCAAGTTTCGATTACAGTAGTCGCGTGTCTCCCGATAATGACAATCTATGCTGCCGGTCGTTGATGCCGGGGAATCTCTGAGGGAGCGCAGGAGACGTGCTCCGGTGGTTGGCGGGGAACTCCTCCAAGAGCCTAGACATTATCGCGCAGTATTGGCAGCTGGTGGCGCAGCCACTCAATCCTCGTTCAGGAGACTATGGCTACTCCGAAGCCGACATGGAGAGATTCGGTGCTGGCACGGGGCGGGAAGTATACAAGTCCCTTGAGAATGCAGCCGATCGGATGGTGAACATCAGGCAATCGATGGACCTTCTCCTCATACCTTTTCTGAGATGTTTGTAGAAGAAGTAGGTTTATGTTGCATTGTTGTCTAAAACGATCTAATGCGCCACAGGATCGTGCAGCACTCCGGTGTCTATCCGGATTATGTCGACGAGTCGTCCGATCTTGCGGCAGGGAAGCCGAACGTGCAGAACGTGACCTTACTTCTTGGCGATTGGTGGGGATCGGGCATTGTCCATGCGAAAGTTTGGATATCGGATGGGAGAAGCGTCTACATTGGGTCAGCCAACAACGATTGGAAATCTCTTACGCAGGTATGAATTTGATTTAGCAGTGATCTAATCCAAGAAAATAAAGTAATTTTCTTCAGAAGCATACGCTGAGTGAATGCCGAGTGATTATTCTTATTCTTCTGTGGTCTTTTTTCTCAAAAGTTTCCGAGGAGAGCTAGCTTGAAGATACCGTGATTTGTGTTCCAGGTGTTGACCTAAACAGGAATAATACATAGGAATGGAATATCTGCTCAGAATTTCCTTTCGGTCTGTTTTTTTGGATGTGGCTTACCTAGATACCGAGAAGTAATTGTTAGGCAATTTTAGACTCAGTGGTCAAGTGTTTACGTTCTTGTATTTTGAGTGTTTTCATTTCTAAGATTGGCTGGTGGTCCATTCGTCTGAGGGATTTTGATAGATTCCTTAACATTGTTGCATCACTTCTAAGGTTCACCTTTAGATGTTCACAGACGCAATTACAGCTTAGGGAGGCAACGTTTGTTCCCCTAATGTAAACACAAGTTAAAAACATTTTCTAATCATCAGGGGATTGTATTTTCGGAAATTTGAGAAGCTTTGGGATTTAATTTTAGCAAACCTGAAGTTCTTCTGTAGTTATAATCTTGGAATAAGAATCCTCTCAGATTGATTGCATCAAGGATATTGTGAAAAGAAAAATCTCTTTGCAAACGATTCCGTGAAGGGTGCCACTTTCGTTGAAGTATGAAGCTCTGTGGTTGATGCTTGAAAAATACCGTATTGGATGTACTTGTCTTCATCCGTTACATCTCTGCCAATGTGTGTTTCAACTTGGAGTCATTGCATTCATTGCACAAAGCATGATTCCTTCAGTTTATAATAAATTACATGTTTATTTCATTCATTGCACAAAGCCTGGACACGTTTTTAAAGGTACTAAGTCTTGCAATCTTTATCTGCTTAATTTATTATTAGTGAGTGCTATCAGATAAGAGGAACAAGTGTGCAGATACTACTGTATAGAAAATTCACGATGAATTCTAGAAATTTATACATAAGTTAGTACCTTCGTTCTTCAATAGGTTATCCTGTCTCTGATGGTGGACGCCTGCTATGAAGCATGGACGTTTTCTGCTATGTGCTACTTATGATTAAAAGATGGTCATTTAATAAGAGTTATCTAAATCGCTTAAATTAGAATATCCACGAGGATAATCTAGCAATTAATTTTCAATCTATAAGGTATATTTGATGCTTTGTCTGTGGGAATGTCAACAAGACATGTGGAGGTTAAATTGTTTCTCGAACGTAAATTATTCAGATCAAAGCATATTAATTGACATCTGTGAAATATACCTCCTATCTTTCATTGTTCGTCTATTTCGTTTGCCTGTTATCCTATTTGCTGTTGCCTAATTTTGTATTTCTCATCTAGGTTAAAGAGGTTGGCATTTATCTTACTGATTGTCCAAGTATTGTCGAAAAAGTAACAAAGTACTTCAACAATCTGTGGAGCCTTTCTTCTCTTAACTCATCGGCTTACACAAAAACAGTGTGGGATGAACAATGGCAAGCTCAAAGAAAAGTGCCCTGCTGGTCACATTTTGTCGATCACAAGGAGAGGTGCAGGTATGGTCCATAGAAATTTCAGTGTTTACATCGCTTTTATCAAATGATTTTATCTTCGGGTTTGACAAAACCACATGATCAGCAGTTAGCTACTCTCTGACTCTATTAGATATTTTTTCTTGAATAAAAGAAATGCCATATCAGACACAACCGCTTTTTTGCCTCTCACCTAGCATAAGTTCTCATAAGGCATTATGGAGGGCTTCTTAAGCCTGAGCGTTTAGCAAGGGGAAGCATTGGCGAAGACTGGAGATCTTTCCCTTATTTAAATGAGATCCTTATCATGAAAAGCAATATATTTTATTTTTCCCTGCCTCTTTTCAGTGGTTCATGTATGAATCAGTCTTGTTGTGTTGAACTATAGAGGTAGTGAACTATCTATAGATAAAGTGGCATTGAATGCTCCGCTTCTCCAGTGATCTTACAACATCAGCCCTACGTTCATTTTTAATGTTTAGTGACATTGTGGTGGCAAAACATCTTTGATTAAATATAAAGATGTACAAGATAGATCGGACAAGCGATATGATACTGACTATAATGCTCTGGCCCTTTGAACATCTGCCAGTATATATGTCAATTGCTGCCATCTTGATTAATAATCTACTCGATGATTCTTTTTCTTTTTGAGGAAAAATGTAAAATAATAATGTCAGTAATTTCATAGGTGATATTTTCTCTCTGAGATCAGCAATTTCCATTGATTCCATGGATTCTTGAACATCTCTAGTCATAATCTATTCTGTATGATATTGAAGTCATTGAAGAAGCTGCTTCAGTCATATTGGATAGACAATTGCTTACTCACTTTTGGATGCTTTTAGGTACAAAGAATCCATGTGAGAATTATTTTGAACAATAAAAGAATCCTAAATTTCCAAAAAGTTTCTATTAAAGATATTTGTATGTTTTGAGTTTTTTTTAAAACACTTACGAAATATGTCTTTCAAACTTTCATGAGTTTTTTTTATTTTTGAACGTTTATTTCTCCTTCAGAAGTTTACCTGATCCAATATGACTGGGGTCAAATTTACTTGAGACTTAGTGTAATGACTTGTGCAATATTGTAAGAATCTCATATTATTAAAATACTTTGCTTGTGTGTCACGTGACTATCTTAGTGACTAATGTGATTGCCTTAGTTTCTGTTTTCTTCTTAGTGTGTGTAAGGTTCACATGTCCAGAACCCTCCATAAGGGGTCTGGTATGAATACTAGAGCTTTGCGAATTCATTTAATAAAATATTTCCCTTATCTTGAATAGAAGTTCCTTTCCCTCCCTCTACACGAGAAGGTTTTTTACCTCGAGGATCCAGAGGAAGTGAAGGAAATTCGACATGGTATCTGAGCTTCAGATACATTAGCTGGAATTGTAGTATCATCCAGGGTAGCAAGAAATGATCTGTAGATGAGATTAATTTTGTGATTAGTGAGAAAAGGGGCTGAAGGACATAAGGGTTGTTTGGTACAGGCTTGAGGAGGTCTTATAAGGGCAATAAGAAGGTCACCTGGCAATCTGGGCCACCTTGTATACTTCTTGGGTATTGAAGTGGCTCATTCCTCCAAATGTATATTTATATTTCAGCGAAAATATGTAACAGATCTCTTGAAGGATGCTGAAAAACCTGCTTGCAAACTAGCCAGCACTCCTCTCAGACCTAATCACAAATCATGTCTGGTTGAGGATGAGAAATCTGTTGACAAATAAATGTATCAATGTCTTATTGGATGGTTAGTATATCTCACACATACCAGACCTGATATTTCTTTTGATTTTGGTCTTTTAAGTCAGTTCATGCATAAACCATAGGAATCACAGCTACATGATGCACATCGGGGTGCTATGGTATTTGAAGGACACTCTTTGAAAACGTCTTAGAAGTGTAGTGGTAAAGTTGAGCTTGAAATGTATAAAAATGTAGGTTATGCTGGTTCTCTTTAATATCACCGATCAACCTCTGGTCTTTTTAGATTTCTAAGAGGTAATTTGGTTACTTGGTGCAGAAAAAAACAAACTGTTGGTGCTCACTCAAGTGCTGAGGCAGAAATCAGAGCACTTGCTCAAGAGATATGCGAGCTGTTCTAGGTGAAGATCTTATTAACTGAACTGAAGATTTCTCCTGTGAATCTTATGAAACTTTATTGTAATAAAAAATCTGGAATCAATCTTGTGCATAATTCAATACGACATGATCGCACAAAACATGCAGAGATTGACCACCACTTTATCAACAAAAAAATGGGGATAAATGTGCTTTGTACCCTATATCTCAACTAAAAATCAATTCTCATATTTGCTGACAAAGGGGGTTTCTGACATTCAACTGCAACAAATGATTTCGAGTTGGGAATAGATAATATCCATTTATCAACTTGAGGGGGAGTGCCAAAATATTCTGTCTTGGTGTGTCATGTGACTGTCTTAGTGACTCATGTGACTGTCTTGGCGTCCATTTTCTTCTTAGTGTGTGTAAGGCTCACATGTCCAGAACCTTCCACAAAGGGTTTGATATAAATACCAAACCTCTCTTATGAATTGAATAGAAGTTCCTTTATCTCTCTCTACATGAGAAGGTTTTTTGCCTTGAGGATCCAGAGGAAGTGAAAGAAATTCGACACATATGAATATGATCATTGGCCTGATTCATACATGGTACGACTCTTTGATCTAACAATGGGAGCTTGATCATTGCCCTGATTCACATTTGGTACGGCTCTTTGATCTACCAATTGGAGGACTGTGTTCAACTCAGAGAGTTCAGAATCTGATTCAGAGAAGAGTCAAATCAATTCTGCAGACTCTAATTTGACAATAATTTTTTAGGTCTAATCCACGCCTACGTACACATCTTTCTAAGTGCATACGTCATTAAACTAATTATAATGATCTATCTATGCGAATTATACTGATCTATACTAATAATTCTCTTTCCCTCGCCGGTCGAGTTGTTACTGAGAATTATTGAATATAATTTTGAAAATTCTATTCAACTATACTCCTTCCACTTGTATTTCATGGATGTCACGCTGTAAATTGGTTTTTTATGCTTCTCACTTGCCATCAATAAAAAGCTCGATTATCCTTTTGTTTGAGAGTCCAATTATGCATACTAGTTTGACATTTCCCTGATACTCTTTAACTATAATTCATTGTCAGATCACTTCTCCCTCATTATATCGAGGTTCCCCACGTAGCAGGCTATCCATTTTTGTCGGATCCTTCCATGTTCCATGTTCCAATTGAGACACCTGGACACAACGTATCTGATTACAACATGTCTGACTTTAAGAGTTCTCTCAGCTATCTTTCATTTGCACCACCGGAGGTAACTTCCTTGATGTTAATTTTATTCTTCTGAAGGCTCGGTTATCGCACAATTTTTCTTTTCTTTTCTTTTGATTTTATTTCTTCGTGACTTCTCGTTTATTTATATGGAATCTGAATTATTTCTTGACGTCATTATTTAATTAATTATCTGAAAGTTGCTAATCTTCGACATCATTAAATCAATGCTCGTTCTCTTTCTCCTTCTCTGCAGCTGTCATTCGGTAGATTTCAGGCTGATGAACAGGGCTGGGTGGACACCATTAAATCCGTCAAGTTCAAAGGAACTGTGAGAATCAGCTCCATGGACTGGCTCGGACAGTCACAGTACGCAACGCAAACCATCTTTTGGTCCTCTCTATCTTCCGCCGTCTCCGAGGTTTGAGCTTCCCTATCCCCAAGCTTTCTCTCTCTCTCTTCCACTCATGCTGCAGATGGCTTCCATTAATGGCTGACCATGGAAATATTTCTTGCCCGCCAGGTCGTCTTCTCCAAGAAAGCAACCGTGAGAATACTAGTCGCCTACTGGGCGCACTTCATTGAGAACACCGACCAGTATCTGAAGTCTCTCTTGTACTCTAACATCCTGTGCTCCTCCTCCAAGCGCAACAAATGCGGCGGCAAGGTGCAGATCAAGTACTACGCCGTGCCCGGATTCAACGCGACCGGCCCTGCCTTGAAGAAGGGAAAGGCCACTGGAAATGTATACCCGGGGTACACTCGGGTCAACCACGGCAAGTACGCCGTTAGCCACGAGAGGGCCCACATTGGAACCAGCAATCTCGTGTGGGATTACTTCTATTCAACGGCGGGGGTCAGCTTCGGAACCTACCATCCTTCCCTGGTTTCGCAGCTGCAAAGAATCTTCGATGCCGATTGGAATTCTCCGTACGCCAAGAATGTCCAGCCGCTGAAGGCCGCGTCATGAACAGTACGCCATTAATGGAGCTTTCTGACCTGCTTGCAAAGAATTTCATTTAGAGCCAACAGTGTGTATGTGGCTAGTTATGCTTTTCTTTCCTCAGGCCAGCGGATGAATCGGGAGTGGCCATCCATCCGGGTACTATCGGCTAACCAAAGGCCTCCTCCCTTCATTACAAGGTGCACATCTCTCTCTCTCTCTCTCTCTCTCTCTCTCTCTCTCTCTCTCTCTCTCTCTCTCTCTCTCTCTCTCTCTCTCTATCTATCTCTATGAGCTTGTGAACCAGGATGCCCTAGGAATCCTGATTTGGGTAACCCGTTCGAAAACATGAGTTTTGTCATTCTATATTCTCCGAAAAATTATTTAGAGAGTCGTCATGGGGCTTTTAGTCGATAGCCAACCAACTGATCAGATCCCAGCTAGAGAAAGGAAATCGGATCGTTAGGAGAACCGGTTAGGCGGGTAGCTCATCTCCACAGATCCGGGTGGACTGGTGCTCAATGGAGCCGTCGAAGGAGGTACTCGACCTGAACGAGCTTGGTCAGAGGGATAACCCACTCTCCATAGATCCGGGCGGCGACCTCCGGGTCAACCTTGTACTTGCCTCTGCCGCCTGTGTTGTTCCTCCCAGCCTTGTCATCTAGAGTGACGTTCTGCCCAAAGAGCATGGCTTTCTTCTCCACCCTTCTCTTGACTGACTCCTCCACGTCCGCAAAAGTCAACAGCTCCATCAGCCCAACCCGATCCTGCAAAATATAAAAACATGTCAGTAAAAAAGAAGGGGGGAAATTGTTCTATGGAATAGACCCGAATCGAAAGCAGCTTGTGCGTAAGTAGGGATCTATTGTCAACGACCTTTGACTTTATGAGGGGGATGTAGTCATCCGGCGCATCTCTGAACTTGACTTCTGCCACAAACCTCCCATAATGGATTCTCCTCGACAGAGCCTGCTCAGGATCGACCACATTTTTCCGCGGTTGACCATGGTTTCCGACACAAAATCTTATACATTTTCATCGCATTTCCCTGTGATCTTACCTGCAAGAGCACCAGATCGCTCGCCACAGTGGATCCATGGTCACCGTCGTCACCCTCCTCCGTGAACAGCGCGACCATCTCTCTGGTGTAGATCCTCCATATCTCCTTGCTCACATTCACTGTGGCGGATGCGGGGTGTAGAAGAACCTAGAGATGTCTGGGAAATTAGCACACCTCAAATTCCATGGCGGACGAGTAGGAGGCGATCCCACCTGCGGGGGGCTGTGCGGATGAACCAGCGGCTCTGGAAGATAATCGGGGAAGAAGGGCACTTCCTCTGGGTTCAGATATCTCCCTGCCTGCCAGATTTTGGGAAAAAATTACAGTAACAGTGAGGACTTGGATTAGGGTTTTTTGGTGGGAGGTGGAGGGGGGTGGCCAACCTTGGCGGAGATGATCTCAGACTGGCGGACAAAGAACTCGGCGAGGGACGCCGGTGGGAGGAATGAAGAGTCGTAGGCGGCGGAGTTGCGCCGGTGCATCGCCCTCTCGAGGAGGGAGAAGACGATGGAGTCCTCCTGCCGGATGAGGGACTCTCTCACGGAATCCAGGGTTAACGCCCGGGGAACATCGCCGGCGGCGGCGGCGCTGCAAGAGAAGGAGGCGGCGATGAGGACGGAGAAGAGGAGGAGCCGGGCGGCGGCGGCGGCGGCGGCGGAAGGTGGGTAGGGCGGAGCCATCGGGACGGCGACGGAGGAGGGGACCTCGGTGAGGAGGGCGAGTTTTCCATGGCGGAGCCGGCGGGGGAGGGCTCCTTTCTAAGCCTCGCCGGAGGGCGACAGTAGCGGCGGCGGTCTGGTGGCGCACGGAGGAGGAAGTAAGGTCGCCGCTGCGTTCACATCACGGTGCCCTCTCTCGTTGGTCACTTGGAAGAATAAATTGAATACACGTGAATGGGTCACCCTCAGTCGATCTTGACAGCTGTGTACGGCTCTTTCGTTGACCTCAGACTCAATGTTTGACCAGAATATCCACGGTCCTGGTCAGGCACGGGGCTCGTGGAATCAGCTCGGCCCGACCTCACCCCCGATGCCGTTCAGACACTCCATCCACAAAAATAAACCATTTTTCCTGTGAAATCATCTCGGTCCTTCGCTGACGCCCTCTCTCTCTCTCTCTCTCTCTCACCTCCAGACCCTCAAGGCCCCAAAAGAAAACTACCTTTTTATAATATCATCTGGGTCCTCCGCCCCAAGAAAAAATGAATTTTTGTTTGTAACATCATCTGGGTACTTCCCCAGCCCCCCTCCACCTCCACCTCCACTCCCTCTCTCTCCGTCAGTTCAACTCGTCTAAGAACAAATCTCTGCAGATGAGGCCCAACGTACGATGATTAGCATTACTCGTGCCCCATTGGCGTGGGTGGCTCGCTGACGTGTCGGGCTCTCATGAGCAGAGAGAACTGTGGATGTCTGATACTTTTGACTCTTTTACTGGGGGCAAGGTTGTAATATTCCCAAAGAAGGTAAGTAGTGCAGCCAATCATCGTTACCTGGGTGATTGGCTATTCGTCAGAGTTAGCAGGGGTCTTTCTCTAATTTTCTCCTACCGAGCCTGGGTGGTGGGATGAGAAGGACCGCAGAGCTGGCAGCCATGACTGACTAACCACGGAACCAGCTTGACCATGGTTAAGTCCCAACAACCACACTTTCTTAACCCTAGTTAGCCCTCCCCGTCCCGACCCTTGCTATCTCAATAAAGCCCATTCCCGAGTATAGGAAAGCCTCGGTCGCTCATCGCATCTAGTCGACGTGTGCTTCTCTCTCTCTCTCTCTCTCTCTCTCTCTCTCTCTCTCTATCCAACCACAAGCCCAGACAGCCACCGGAGGTATGCCGGTCGAGACCGGCGCTGCGTCTGCGGGGCAGACGGTGTGCGTCACGGGCGCCGGAGGATACCTGGCATCGTGGCTCGTGAAGCTCCTCCTGGAGAAGGGCTACACCGTGAAGGGAACCGTCCGCAACCCAGGTTCATCCTTTCGAGATGATGACGATTTTTTTTTCTGAATCTATCCATCTGTTTTCGAATTGTGAGCACAGTTTAATGATGTTGTTGAGATGCAGACGACCCGAAGAATTTCCATCTCAGGGAGTTGGAAGGTGCCAAGGAGAGGCTCACTCTCTGCCGCGCCGACCTCCTCGACTACGACAGCCTCCGCAATGCTATCCACGACTGCGATGGTGTCTTCCACATCGCCTCCCCCGTCACTGACGACCCAGTAAGCGTCGATCCAAATCTCATGCTGCTCCGTGATCAGAGCCCGAAGAAGAATAAGAAGATGATGATGATCTTTGCGCTTGTTGCTGGCTCTTTCGTAGGAGAAGATGGTGGATCCGTCGGTGCAGGGAACGAGGTACGTGATCCAGGCGGCGGCGGAGGCCGGGGCGAGGCGCGTGATATTCACGTCCTCCATCGGAGCAGTGAACATGAACCCAAACCGGCCGCCGGAGACGGTGGTCGACGAGTCCTGCTGGAGCGATCTGGATTTCTGCAAGGCCACCAAGAACTGGTACTGCTACGGGAAGGCGGTGGCGGAACAGGAAGCGTGGCGGTACGCCGAAGAGAAGAATATCGAGTTGGCGGTGGTGATCCCCGTACTGGTCATGGGGCCGCTGCTTCAGCCCAACATCAACGCCAGCACCGTCCACGTCCTCAAGTACTTGACTGGATCTGCGAAGACCTACGCCAACTCCGTCCAGGCCTACGTTGACGTGCGCGACGTCGCCGCCGCGCACGTCCTCGTCTACGAGGCGCCGTCGGCTCAGGGGCGGCGCTTCCTCTGCGCCGAGTCCGTTCTCCACCGCGGAGAGGTCGTTGACATCCTCGACAATGTCTTCCCCGGCTACCCGGTCCCCACCAAGTAAGTTACTCAGTCAGTCTCCTTTCATCTTCAACGATCCTCTTCCTCCCGATCATCTCGCCATTATTACTGTATTCAGTCAGGGGACTAAACCTACAGTTCGCTGAAGATTAGTAGGGCGAACTCACTTTTTTCCTCCTCCAGACGTCATCTGCTAACCACTCTGCATGCGCCACTATTTCGGATTGTACCAGAACCAAAAGAGCCCCCCCCCTTGACACCACCCACCGCACCGTCCCCCTCTTGGTGCTACCTACTACGACCTGCAACTTCCACCCCCGTCCATCTGTCGTCATCTCCTCCAAAGACCACGACTGAACTGCTATCCACTAGAACCAGGAGTAGGAGGACGAAGAAGAGAGTTTAACCTCCACCCTCCATGGTTTTGCAGGTGCTCGGACGAGGTCAACCCGAGGGCGAAACCCTTCAAGTTTTCCAACCAGGGGCTCAGGGATCTCGGCCTGTCCTTCATCCCGGTCAAGCAGTCGCTCCACGACACCGTCAAATGCCTGCAGGAGAAGGGCCACCTCCTCCCTCCGGAAAGCCTGCAGAGCGCAGGAAAGGCGTGACTATAACTCTCCCTCTGTGCTTCTGAGTTAAGCTTCCAGGCCAGTTGGTGAGCCCACCTTTGAATCTGTGATGCTTTTCCGACCACCACCAGTCCTTTCTGAATAATGATGCCGTGTCGACGTAAGATTCCTACTACCAAACCCTAAAACCAGTCATCTTCCTCCGTCGGCCATCTTCTCTGAATCCACGCGTGCCCCATACCCTAAAACCAGTCATCCGGCCGCGCTGCAAGAACGTGATTTCGAGACCACTCGTTCTGATAAATGCATCCGGGCCAGATCAGGGCTATCTCCAGCACGCCTAAGAACGGCCGATATTGACCTGGGTTGACTTTCTTGCCGTGATTGGTGCGTCTCGACGTCCCATCACCTCACCACCTACCTCTCTCTCTCTCACACACACGTAATATCGCCCAATAAAGTCCGAGACCACTATACCAACCCATGCTCATCCACTTTAACCAGAGGTTGCAGTATTAGGAGACGTCCTTGGTGCTTCCAGAATGGACAGCGAAGATCTGACTCATTTGGCCTCCGAAGATCTGATCTGGACGCTGATTTGACGACTCCCAAGTACTCTCACGTTGACGAGGTCTTGCCCCAATAAACGCTCAATCCAAATCCTTTGGGCTGAAAAGACTATCCAAAAACGTCGATACAAAAAAAAAAAATCTACTAATTTTTTGAAGTCAACCCATGAAATACGGAAGATCCAAGAACTCGATTATTTAGCTTGCACATATCAAAACCATGGGATATCAACTTATAAAAAATTTACAGCCTTTATAGAATGGTGACTATCTATTAGCCACAGTTTTCTATTAGCCTTATTTACCTATTATTCGATTAAGTTGAGATTTATCGCATCATTTGCATCTCATTCCACGTCAATTGCTGTTGGGTATCCATTTTCCAGATGAGAACATAAATTATCTGCAAGATATTCATGCCATGAAGTTTTTTAAAAAAGTTTTGGGTATCAATTAGATTTTTTTCAGGAATCATTCGATGTCGTCTTTATCTCCTCACAATATATAGAACATATACTACTCATCTTATTAATTCCTATTTGTTAACCTCAATGGAGATAGAATAGCGAAAAAATTAAAATGTTTTCTTATTAACACTAAAACATCGTGTGCATGCCATGCAGGTGTTAAGTGTTTAAAACTTGCATGCCTTTTCAAGGGATAAATTCGGGTTAATTCATGGAAGTGAACAACAGTGTAAACGTGCAAATAATTATATTAATAACATGTTAGCAACAAGTTTAAATACCCCCCTCCCCCCTTACACTATCCTATATACTCTGCATTTTTGTCATTTTACCAAGAAATAAGTCGCATTGATTGGACAACAAGATCATAAAAAATCAAAATCGGTCTATCATTTGAGATTCTTTAGTCGCCAAAATCAGTTTATTGGATTTGACAGACAAAAAATAAAGGACCTACTGTTCATGTTTTTGTTATCATTATCTGCATAATTGACTGAAATATAATAGCTACTGCCATGGATTTAGCCAGCTCCATTGTGGCAACATTCGCTCATGTTAACATCCACCACATAATTGCCAATATATCACCTCTCCAGTTGCAAGAGTGGTGGATTTTGAAGAAAGTATTCTAAAACATCCCACTCTTTAATAAACCACACTTTTAGGACCGCGTTCTTACCAATATGATTGATAACTTGATCATGTTCTTACCATTGATCATGAATAGAAATCTGTTGAAATAATGTTACTGAATTACATATTCATCTAATTGCAATTTTTTAAAAAACTTTAAATTATGTTATCGATTTATAGTAGATTATATTTTGTCATGATAGTCAAATTTCTACCAAATTAGTTGTGTTAGGACCCACTTTATGCAAGCAATATTTTGTATTAATTAAAATATGTCTTAACATGAAGTAATATTTCAAAAAAATGTATAACATTAAAGAAAATAATCTAAACAAAGTTAAAAAAACATCTCCCATTTCTCGGTCGACTGCATCCAGAATTTCACAGCAAACAGGGTCTCGCAAGAGATGGACGTTCAACGATATCATAATTGGTGATGATAGTAAGAACATCGCAGGAATTAGGGCACCTGATGACTGAAATTCTTGGGACAAAGTTGACGGATGCCAAGAACTTCCCCAGGCTACTTGAAATTTTGAAGACCTGGAAAGTCGAAAGAATGAAGATCATCACAAGCTTATTCCTGAAAATCAGATAAAAACTTTTTTTTTGCTTTAATTCTCAGGCCTTGACTCATTTACTAGGTAGAGTACGTTATTTTCACGTGGGAGTGACCTAAGATTAAGTTTGAAAAGAGAAGAGGATTAATCCAAACCCGATGAAGGAAACCTATAATTCTAATAAACACTATTTCAGACCCTCTAAAGTACTCAGATTTCCAACGAATCCCATGGCGTGCAATCGGTAGAGACTTCCACCCCACAATCAGACATCCCCCACTCTTATGCTTTCTCAACGTCGTATGTAATTTTCAAATACCAATCCAGTTAGTGATCCAGAACTTGAATCGTGTAGGATAAACCATAAAAAGGTCATTTGATTAAAATCAACGGAAGAAATACTGCGCGAAAATCCGCTTCTACATTGTCGATAAGGAAAAAAAATCTATTTTCCTTCGATTCAATAAAATAAAAAGTATATTCCACATAACTAATTTCATCGTTCTCAAACAAAAATCATAACCAGCCTCTTTCAAGCCCTAATTCAACCCTTGAATCGTAATCGAAATCGTAACAAACCTGAATTAAAAACTTCCATTCAAGTACAGGAACTCCACTTCTGTGTATTTTGTCAAGTGCACAGATCATTCCAGTCTCGAATAATGGACAAAGTCTCAAGCCGCTGACCCAATTGATCCAGCCCTTCACTCAAACATGCGAAAATGATTGAGTTACGCGAAAGATCACTCAAGTCAACTCTTTCGGGATAAAATATCTCGTCAAGAGATGATGAAGTTTAGGATAGCTCATCCAAAAGTGTATTGAAAGCCATTTTCAGCACCAAAACAATTGGAAACTAGGCAAACATTGATTTTAAGGGACCCTCTTTGAAAGACCAGCACAAGGATAATTGATCATCCTCTTCAAGCAAAACAGCAGGGCTCTACAAGAGGATAATCCAATTTCCATTAAAGTAACTTTGAAGTGACATAAGAAAAATTCTTCACAAATGACAAGATCTAAGTTAACATCCAATAACCCATGTGCGCTTTGATCATAGCAACCATCAATTTTATCCAAGTCCGTTGAAACATCTGAACAAATACACAAAACTCCAGCCCCGTATGGGCTTTTTCCCCCCTCAACGGAATGTATGTGGGTTAGCCTCCATAATCAATAGCAGATACCTGCCCTAGCTTTGCCTCAACGATGGTGCCGCTCTGGAGTTTTGTTGGTGAGGTAGAAACAAAGGTAGGGACCGAGAGAGAGAGAGAGAGAGAGAGAGATCCAGTCCGGAAAGTAGCAAGGCAGGAGAAGACAACACAGATTAAACCCAAGTGGCCTTTTCTACAGCTAAGAATAGAGAAGAAAGGTGCCTAAAACAAATGAAGACGATGAGCAAGGAGACTGGAAGAGAGAGATGGTTAGATGGAAGAAGACCTGCATGGATCATCTCTCGGGATCTCTTCCTCTTCTATTTCTCAAACCGAGAACTTTGACCTGACGCTCAAAAAGACAACCGTGAAAATAAACAAGGGAAAGAAAACAGGACCACCACTGGATGGCATCTATTGCGGGGAAGGAGCCACTCGATAAAAAATGCAACTTTATCAGCTTTTACAGAACTAAACCAGATTTCAGAAGGAAGCCGTTGAGAAGAGACGGAGGAGAGGAGCTACCGATGAGCAAGACGGCCATCTCGTTACATAAGACAAAATAGGGCAAGCTCTCTCGAAAAAAAGGGGAGCATTTATCAAAGAAAAACCTTTGTACATGGTGAGGTGAGGATGGGAGTCTCTATAGACCCAGATCTAAGATCTTATCCGTCGCTAAGCGTCTTCTTCATGGTGCAGTCCTACGCGGATAGGGCAGAGAGAAAGAAAGAGAGAAAGAGAGAGAGAGAGAGAGAGAGAGAAGAGGGATAATCCAACAATCGACAGTACCTAGGTAGACGGAGGATCATTGACCTCGAGGAAGGGAGAAAGGATTACCCACGACAAATGGAACCCATCGGTCGCATCGACCAATGTAGAGAAATACCTTCATCGATCAATGTAGAGAAATACCTTCATCGACCAATGTGGAGAAATACCTTCATCTAACAATTCGCATCCATATCAATAAAATCTCGCATGTAGATGGAGAGACAGAGAGACTGACATATATAGATAGGTAGATAGATGGATGGATAGATATATGGCTAGCGAGAGAGAGAGAGAGAGAGAGAGAGAGAGAGAGAGAGAGAGAGATAGAGAGAGAGAGACCTAGAAGGGCGATGAGGTAATACCTGGCATGGAGAAACCACTGCGGGTGGGTTTTCGTTATCGAGATCCGAAGAAACGAGGCCAGGAAGAGATGAAATGAGGAAGAGAAGCGAGAAAATAAGGGATACCCTACCAGAAGCAAGCTTCGTTAGTGGGGCTTTACATCGAAGGCTAGCCTGCTCGTTGATGTTTATCTTCTTCTGACGGTGATGTCCCCAAGACTCGAATCACGAGGAAAATTTCGTCGGCCCCAAGAAATGAGGAACAAGTACAGCATCATGTACCGTTCTTTCCTGCAAGGGAGGGCACCAGATTGGGATGTCTCCCTGGAAATCGCACCGCCTCTACGTCGGATAAGCCCACCGTACCATTAGTTCCAAGAGAGAGAAAGATAGGTGTTTCTATCTTTCCCTCACGAAGCTCTCTAAAGATAGAGAGATGATAAAAGGGATAAACTACCAATAGCATTTATACATCTCAACGAGAGAGAGAGGCAACCCGTCGCCGCTGCCACAGCATGGTGGGTTGGGGGCAACCGATTGCCGA